TTGAAACGCATAGATAAATCTATTAGTTTATGTAATAAAAGTAAGGGCGCTAGTTAATGAGTTAGTATAACAACAATTATAGGAATAAACGTTGAAGACAATATTTACATTCTAAAAATAATATGATTTTATCGTATCTAAGATTTTTATTTATATTTTAAATATTAATTTCCTATATTGTTGTGCTTTGCAACAACTATTGACAAAAAAAAAACTGACAAACGTTGTATTTTGTTGGCCTCTTCCTTCTAAGATTAATTTTTATTCGTAAACAACTTTATTTTACACTTCTCAACGATAAGTTTTAAAAAATGTCTAAAATTATTGATTTTGAAAAATTATTCAAATAAATCTAAAATAAACTTTGATATACTTTTATGATCAAATAAGATATTTTTTATGTAAATATTATTTCAAAACAAACTGTACATACCCCTGATTTCATGCCTATTAAGTTACCAGCGGGAATTGAAGAAAGAAATGACAAAATTCAAATCTTGGTTTCATCTTTAAATATTTCAATATTATTTTCTAATTAAAATTAAAATTAAAATTTAATTTCAACAATCAACGTTCCTCATTAACGTTAATTTTCGTTTTATGAATTACGAAAACAAATTGTAATTTTTACTAAAAATATACAAAATATTGAGATTATTATACCTAAATTTTACCTCTGACTAAAATGTTGCAACTTCTAAGCAAACTTCGCAAAATCCATATCTAATCAATTTAACTTTGCCAAGTTGAAATGAAAACCCACGTACACTTACATGCATCCCTTAATCGTTAAAAAGTAAAAGTTAATTGACCAAACATACCTTTTAAAAATTTATATATATAACCCATTAAAGAATTAAGACGATATTAACCGTTTCAAATAATTTTAAGTATTTATAAACAATTTTTTATTAAAATATATTTATTTATAATTATATTTGTATGAAATAAATACTTTTTAATTTTTTTAAATAAATACTTTTAGTGACTTACCTTAAAGACTGACGTTGTATGATAAAAATTAGTTTTTTTATCTCAAATTATTTGAATATTTCTTCTATTTTGTACTTTTTACATATATAAATTTATTCTATTTTTAAAACTTACACAAGAATACCTTATATTTTAAAAATATATGGTTCTTTTATCTAATTTTTTTCCAAAAAATTTAAATGTAATTATAAATTTTGATTCACCATACAATCTTTTTACATATATTATATTTAAAGTTTATAATTCTATGATAATAAAAAAATTATTAAATATTAAAATAATAAAAAATAATAATAATTACAAAAATTATGTCTTATCCCGTTAAATGAAGTAAATTATATGAATCACATTATTAAACTACATTAAAATTAACTTTTTTGTGATATTAATAAAATAATTAAAAATAAAATAAATTGTAAATCTATGCAAAATGAAATGAATAAATATTTTTTTGTTGTTCGTTATTTAATTCAGAAAATATTTTAAATTAAATTCTATCAACAATTCATGTATTATTTTTTGTATTGAATATATTATTTTAAATTTTATTTTAATGAAAATTAATATAGAATTTTTAAAAAATACATGTTATCTAAATTCATAAGAATAATAATATTTTTATATTTCGTAAGAAATAAAAATTAAGAATCATATTTAAAAAGAATTGACAGGATTTTATGTGAGTTTTAAATGTAGAATTAATTTGCTACTTTATTCAATCCTTTAAAGATACAGGCTTCATTTAATGAAAAAAAAAAACTAGGCAGTCAAAACCCACAAATTACACATGAAATGGTTGATTAAAATTAATTTAAAGAACTTTTTTTTGACATTTTAATATAAAATAAAATATATTTTAATAAAATGTATCATGTATATATATATATTACAATTTAAATTTATTTTTATTATTTTTAAATCGAATGATCACATAAACGACTTTATAAAAATTAAGAACCAGGCTAGTTGACCCACTGACTCAAATTCATTTTATCAATTTTCGTGAGAACATATTTTTTTTAATCATAACAAGGAACATATTTCAATGAAGTGAATCTCCTATTTTGTCATTTTCTGTTTGCTTTTGTTTATTGCTGGACGTCATCATGCTTATCCACATAAAGTAATAACCACTAATCCTTTGGTAGCACATAAAATGGAAGCTAATTGCCTCACTTTGCATTGTGGGGGTCACTGATTAATGATTTTTCTTTTAAAGACAAAATATTTTTTAAATAACACCATCATTGATGGGACCGACAAATAAATAAATAAATAATATACCACTTTTTCTTAGCCAATAAAATCCCAAAAAGACAAATCTTCGGTACTCAATTGAGATAACCTCATAAAACATTTTAGGAGAGCGTGGCAAGTATATTACATTATTACTTTTTCCCTGAATTACAAGTTTTTTTATACATTTTTTTTAATTAAGAACATTTATAATATAATAAAATTAGTTGCTCAAATAAAAAAAATATTATATACAAAATTTGATATATAAAAAATAAACACGCATTACTTAAAATGGCCTTCATTGATTAGTTAAAAAATATACGTTAACATTTTATTGATAACAATTCATAAATTTATGAAAAACAAGTATAAATGTAAATATTATATACATTTTAAATTTAATGTTTATTTATTAATTCTTTAACCTTTTTGCCCAAGAGTGTTGAAAAAGATATTTATTACTCATTGTTAAGGTTTTATAATGTACCTCTTTGGAATCTTGTCAAACCATACACAGCTTTAGGGGGTCATGTTATCGTGAATTATTTTTATAATAGCTTTTTTTAAATTTAAATAAGGATATGTGCACCAAAGGATAATTTTGTTCTATTCGTAGTTTCTTTCCACCTGTCCCATATATAGGGGAGGGGATTACTGAAAATAAAATATAAGAAGGCCAGACTTTTTAAGTAATAAAAATTAGAAAGCAACCTTAATAGTGATGTGAGATATTTGCAAATGTTCATTTAGTCATACCAAATAAAATCTTTTAGTTATGGCAAGTCATAAGTGTGCAGGATTTTTATTTAATTTTTTTTTTTGGTCAGTTAATCTAGCGTGCCTGAATGTAAGTATTGGCTAAGAATTATTAAACATATTAAATTAAATATTTATAAATTATTATTAAAAATGAATATTAATGAAAATCTATTTTTAGATATCAAGTATTTTTAACATATTTAATCAACACGTATGTATTTTTTTTATCATATGATGGGAAAATTTTTTTAGTACTCCCATTTTAAATATCTACTTAAATTCCAAACTCAAGTACTTAGAGAAAAAAATCCCCATTTTTGTGCAAAAAATAAAATAAAGATAATTCTTCACTAGAAATTACCTTAACATGCATTTGCACATATTTAGATTGGAAATTATGTACCAACAAGCCTGGAAAATTTGGGAGATAATTACTTTGCAAAAAAAAAAAAGGTATCCTTTCATTTTCTTAATTATGATTTTGATTCTCAATTGTGTGCGTATAGAAATATTTTATTAAAATAATTAAATCTATTTTGATAATTTTTATACTTCAAATCTGCATATTTAAATAGATCGGATATTTACTAATGTCACAGTGGAGTACATATCAGCTTGGACTAAGTAACTACTATCTATTTAGTTGCTGTGACAATTAATTTTTATTTTTACTTTCGTTGAAAAGAAAATGAAGAATGATGAATTTTTTAAAACAAAGAATGATAATAAAAAAATTAAAAGCATTTGAAATTCATTTCAATTAAAGAAGACAAAGTATTAAAAAGTTCACCTGTTCTGTCCTTAAATGAAGAAAATACAATTTTTTATTCACATTTTTAATAGTAGTAATTTATTAAATATTTAAGACTAGAGTGAAAAATCCCATAAAACCTCGGCTTCATACAAATTAAGGCAGTCTGATTTGACAATTTAGTTAGTTTTTATATAAAAGATAAATCACTTTTTTCTTTCTTTATTTAAAGATTTATGAAGAAAGATAAAAATATTATTTTATCTTTTTTATTATTTCCTGTGCCATTTTAACATAATGAAATAGTTATTTTCCTCCAGTAGAGTTATTATTGATAAATAAGTGAAAATTGAATTTATGTATTTCCAGTTGGAAATGAATCATAACTGGGTAAATTGGAAGATATTTTTTAGTGGAAAAATTAAAGATCTTTAAAACGTGAATGACTGGCAGGTTGGTAACGAGCTTATGATTCTAAAACCACAGGTGGAAGTGCAGCAACATTACAACATCTTCACCAATGAATCAACCAACCATCCACTCTTCGTCCGTGGGGCTCCTTATGATACATCTACCAAGCTTACCATATGACAACGATGGGCTTTCAAAACCTAAAAGTCAAAAAGTCGATGTGCCACCGATGCATCTTAGGAAGGGAGGGACCCATTTGGTCATTTCTCACACAAGTCACAACCTATTAACTCATTAAATAAACCGCTCGCGCCCATTAATTCTCGTTGGGACATACCATGCAAATAATGCAACTAGAAAAATTATTTTGTAAATATTCATTGATGTCCTTACACTATTGAAAAAGGAAATAAAAAATATATCATCAATTTAACAATTAATATACTACGATAAAAATTTAAAATAAAATAATGTTAAACAAAAGCTATCGATATTTAGGTGTTTGTAAGTTGTAGATCATGATCTAGAACTTAATCAACCATTCCCATGACCAACAACAACTATAGTACTCCTGTTTTATTTGAAATGTTATTTTCTTGTTTTGCTGTGGTTCTAATTCTAGTTTTTAACAGCGTCGTAACCAAATTGTGCAAAGAAGAGATGTAAAAATCATATCACACAGACCTAGCTGGCATTTAGCTGTAGTCGTATGGGTGGGATAAGATCAAAATCAAATTCGCCCTGCGTATTCTCTGTGACTGCAATGGATAAAAGCACAAGAAAACCGTTCAGTTCACGGTCCGTTCATCTACGTGTCTTGGATTTAGTGATAGCGTGAGTTGGCCGCTCTTTTGTCTTCCCTCGGCTCTCCATTAGTGTCGTTTACGCCTTATTTACGTGCAGCAATACTTTTTGGGAAACAAAACCATCAAAGTAGAAAAATTCTAAAATGCTTCACAAACACATGTCCTCCAAACCACAGCAACATCGCCAACCACAAGTCCCTCTTATTAGCAACTACTAATAGTAACTAACAATTAAACAAGAAAACATCTAAATTCAACCAGTCCATGACACATGAGACATACATTTAAGTACTAAGCTAACAAAGAAAACATTACTATAATAATAAAGCTAATTAATTAAGAAATTAAAAATATTTGACTTCCCTAATTCTTTCATTTGATTTATCTTGATTGATTTCAGCATGGGCTTTGGGAAATGAAAATTTGAGGGTCGAGCTTGGTTCTACAAACGGGACAAAGGGGGTGCTTGGAGAGCCAGGTGTCAGCGCAATGGACATGGAAGCCGTGGTTGCAACCAGGGACCAGTCGAGCTGGTTGGTCGTTCTCGATCTCGTCGAGGCAGACGGCGCATTCGGTGCCCAAAATAAGTTCTTTGCCGGTGATTGTGGGGAGTTTTTCCAACTCCAATGAGGATAAACCCTTGTCAGAGACGGGTTTGACCGGTTGCCCGAGGCTGGGGTGGTGATGCGTAGTGGCGTACCAGAGAAGGCACATGTAGACGATGAAAACAGCACTCATGCCAAGGCAGGGCAAGAAAAGTGCCAGAAGAACCGAATCGAGCATTTGGGTTCACACCTTTGTTCGATTCAGAGGGAAATTAATGGAGGGGGTGGTTGGTAAAGGAGTACCCAAGGGATTGGGTAAGTGCACCAGCAACCCACCATATCGCACAATAACACACAGGGACAAGCTTTGTTCAGTGTTGTGAAAGGGAACCCGAAAAATTGTGGTTAAATAGCCAAACCTGATAGAATGAAAAGGGATATCTATGGGTAATGGGGGGACTGGGTAGGTTGAGAAATGGAGTGAGAGAGAATTGTGTAGCTTCCTCTTATGTGAATCAGTGAATATTTGTGGGTGGGGAGGGAGAGAGACTAGCACTGCTTTATCACAGAACGCTAGTTTATACTGAAGATTTTATTTTATAGCCCGATGCACAGCTAGATATCTTTGAGTGAATATTTAAACCTAGGTTTATTATATGTTAAAAATATCTATTTTTATAATTTTTAAATGAAAACTTTCATGTTAATTTTTTAATTATTTTCTCTTTCTGATATCAATTTTTTTTGTACTTTAAATTAATTATTTCTAAATTTGTATATTGAATTAGAGTATATTCTTTCAATAATAATTTAATATGTACTTTCATCTACAATGACACATTTCAGCCTTGATTTTATTTTAACTTTATATACTCACACATGTTTTTATAATTTTAATCTTTCTATTTCAATTTAATTTCTTTAAAATTTTCATTAAAATGTTATATATATATATATATATATATATATATATATGTATATTATTCAATAGTTTTTAAAAGCAATGTTTTTTTTTATTCTACAGTTACTACTTCATTTATTAATTGTCTTTATATTCAATTGGATTAAATGGAAATTTTATATAACCTTAGTGTATTATTATTATTCACTCAAAAGTTTATCATCACAGTTACTATGTGTAAAAAATATAATAAATGATTATTATACAAAATAACTTCACATTTTAATCAAAATTAAACATAATGGCTATCAAGGGTTGCGGTGGAAATAGTCCATAGTTTTCAGTTAGTTTGCATAGTCTTTGGGTTCAATTGTAAGATCAATCACTTGACAGAGAACATGGCATAAAAAAATGAGTTCCAATATTTTAATGACAAATTTTTATTATAAATAAATAAATTATTTATAATATTAAATTTTATTATAAATCACATATCATTCTAAATTGTAGATTATAACTTCAAATAATATAAAGTCCTTAAAAAAGAAAATACATCGAATCAAATAAGCTTTAGGTGAATAGTACAAAACAAAAAACAATTATTACAAACATTTTGTGTCTTTGTGATGCATGATTAAAAATAAAATTGTTTTTATTAAATATTATTAATTACAACTATTTATATGTATCTATTTATATATAATATTTTTTTATTAAAGTTGTGAATTTTTTTTTTATATTTGGATTTATACATATCTATGCATGTTTGTGCATAACAAAAACAGGAGTTTTAATAACTTATTTAAAATTATATTTTTAATCAATATTGATTTATTATTTTTTTAAATGGATATAAAAAATTAGAATTAAAAGGTTAATAATAAATCATGAGTAAAAAAATTAGATTAAGAAGATTTAAAAAGTAAAAATTATGTAAAAATTTATTAAAAATTTCAATATAGGATTATAAAAAAATTTAAATATTAGAAATATAAAAGGTTAAAAAGTATAATGAAATAAATAAAATAAAACTAAATAATTAACTATATATATACATATATAAAAAATTAATGACAAATTTGTTGATTTTTTTTATAATTTTATATAGGTAATAACCAAAATATATTTTAATTATTATAGATACGGTTGTTTTCTGTGTCTTATTATTTAATTTGATAATTAATAATACTAATCATTTAAAAAAAATATTTTATTTTTAATTTATTTATTAAATGTATCTAATTATGTTATATTTTGTCCTTAACAAATTTTTACTCGACACGTGTTAATAACATAATTGATGCATTAAAAAATTAATGTGTTATTTCTTTGAGCATCTAGATAAACATGTAATTGATAAATTACGATGCAAAATTAGATATATTATGATAACAATAAATATTTAAAAATATATTTTGTTAAAAAAAGTCAAACAAAAACTTAGAGAATAAAAACTAAATTTAATTATATCTTATATCTACTAAAAACATATTTTACCGTGCCCACACTGCTCTAGGATGGTGAGTCGGGATAGCCATGTACGGAAAAATGCAACCATTGGTCTGCGGGCAACGATGGATTTGTCGAAACAGTGGAGTGGGGGTTGTTTTGTTTACCCCTTACACACACAATAGGGTAAAGAAAGATCTGCATATGATATTTCCTTTTATTAAAATTGAAATGAAGAGGAAGCTTAAAGTGGGGTCACCAAAGAAACAGTTTGGTCCCTCCTGAAAAGCAAAGGTCCTTTCATTTGTATCTCTACCACGACCACCATCGGTGCTTCGGACCCTGCTTGTCCCATTTAATTCCTTTTCCAGTTAAGATAGGTTAATGGCTCAACCTATCCACCAAAGACAATCAAAAGATAACTTAGGGCCCTTCAACTTGACCAAAATAGGAGAGGTTGCGTATTTGAAGTTTGTTCATTTATTGGTTGTACAACTAGAGTAAATATACAAAACATATTAAAACCTTATCATATGATTTTAGTCTTTGTATTTTAGTGAAAAATTTCTTTCTGTTTCTATTTAGTAATAATTTTTTTACAAGTTTTTTGCTTTTAATCTTTATTGTCAACTTAGTCTATTAAAAAGACGACACTTAATAATCTTTAATAAACAAATATTAAAATAAAAAAAGATAAATAAAATATTAAAAAAAGTAAAATAAACAAATTGTTTAAATGTAGAGATAAAAAATATATATTTAACCGTATAAGACGTGATTTAAGTTTTTAATCTTATAAATATGACAAAATTTATTAAAATAAGTTATTTTTTGTTTTTTTCCTAGAATTTTTTTTACATGTTTAGGTAAATTTATACGTATATTTTTATTGTTACTATCTGAAAAAGCTTTTAAAAATAAATGATTATTTGGTAAAAACAATTTCATTCAATCATGCTATAAGAATGAAAAATATTATAGATAAATAAAAGAGATGTGATTCCTTAAAAGCATGCTTAACGCCAGGGGGAAATCGCAGACGATGACAAGGAAACCCAACAACAGCAATTGTCTGTTTGAAAATTGAAACACTGCGACTTGAAGCATTGGGTAGAGTGGAGAATAATAAAGTCGCGACTTTACGGGGAAGAGACTATCATTCCTTGAGCATCTGAACCTGAAGGTATGCGGTGTGAGTCAGCATGGAGTGTCATAGTTCTTGACTTTGCTTTCACTTTTTTTTATCTATTTCTATTACGATAACATCCTCCAAAGTAAATTCATTTATAAAATAAAAAGAGATTATTTATTTTTAAATTTTATGAATTAATATAATCATGAATTTTAAATTAAATAAAAATAAATAATTATGTACTTTCTTATTTAGAAACAAATTCATTTTTAAGGATTTTTATTCATACAAATTATTTAGGTGAGCAGTTAATAGTACTAAATGCCTTTTTCACTCGCTCAATATTATATTCTTATCAAATGAAATAAATCATTTATATAACTGTGTCTTTATTTAAAGAAACTAAATCTAACAGATGATGAAATTTTATAAAATTATGATTTTTTATCAGATATTTATTATACAATGGTTTAAAAGAATGTTTAAAAGAATAGACCTATTTCGTTGTGAGCTCCATGTTTGAATCATTGACAAAACATGACCCATGCTAGAACACGTCTCGCTTACAGAAAAATAGGAAGAAAAGGGGGAACCAGCAGCTATATTGTCAACTAAATCCGCAATGCAAGCAAATACAAATGTGGGGACAAAATACAATTGGCTTTGAGTGGGTGCATATCATTTGGTAACTAAACCAAAGCAAATCCAGCTAATGTACTTGCCATTGTGAACCAGAAACACTTGATATGACACTTTCGTGGCGGCTTTTACCCTTTCTGAAAATTAGATATTTTATTGGTTACGCGATTCTCAATTCATGCCTCTGAGGTAAATGGCATACTTGCAGCGTGGCTGTACAAGCTAAAAATAGATACTCAAATTGATTAATTTGGCCATTCTTAATTTTCAAATCATAAAGATTGACTGCTTAATAGCATCTCAATTCCCAAATTCTAAGATGGGTGATAAATCTGTCCCGCGTTTTTTTCTTTTAATCTTAAATTAGAGAGTTGTAATCACGCGGCTTGACTTACTTTATAGTGAGAGAGGAGCAGCTAAACAAAAAAAAAAATCATTTTCCACAACACTCTTCATTTACACCTTCTTATTATTATTATTAAACTTGAGAAAAATTGGAGACAATAGGATCAAAGTGAAAGGTACCTAAACAAATTAAGGTTTTGATAAAAAAAAAATTTTTAAATTAGTCAATAAATATAAAGTGACGTAAAAACATGTTTATATTATTCCTTGTATAATGTTTTACAGTGTGAAAAAATATTTTAGATGATTATATATAAATTTTAAGATTAAAATAATAGCTGCAACACATAGTCCCTGGTATCTTTGTACAGTAGCTTATTCAATATTGTATGCATCCTGCGTTAACGATGGCGCGTGAGTGATAACAATGTCTCTATTTCAACTTCAAACTCGTACTTTACACATTGTGGAATAAGAAAGCAATTCATATTCCTTAATTTCTTATGATGTTTCTTGAATAAGACATTAAACATGGGGCTGTGTTTTCTTTAAAGTTTTGGTATATTATTCTCCAGCCGTTAAATTGTCCTCAATTCACTTTTCTGTCAACTTTCAATGGGTGTTAGACATTGATGCTTAAGCCTTTCCCACTAGCAAGGCAACACAAGATTCAGATCATTTTTACAAGTTGTAAGAGTCACTAACCCACTGTCTTAAGATATTATGCTTTTTGAAAACCATCTTTATTATGTTCACGTATTAGTACATTTTAACCAATTGCAACAGAATAAGTAATGGCTTAGGTACACAGTCGTAATTTTAACTACTGACAATTATCATTTACCATCGGTTTGGTTTTCCATTAACATCTGTCAATATATTTTTTTTTATAAAAAAATATTGGTCTAAATAATATGAATTTATACACCTTTTAAAAATGAATTTATACTAATAATATATGACATATAATATTTAATAAATATTTTTATTGTTATAAAATATTAATATATGTCATCGTTATCAATATAACAAATATAATGTTCAATATTTAAACTAAAAAATTATTTTTCTAAATTGAAGTTTATATTAACAAAAACAATTATGGTAATATCGGGGTACTTTCACCTTTTTTTTTGGGTCATGAAAGAGTACAATTTTCAAACAACCCATTATAATCAGCTCCATGATTAATGTCTCAGTCCCCGTTTACTCCTTGTCTTGGGTTGAGTGGGCCTTTGTAAAAAGGTGATCCTTTCAACGCAGATGCAGGGAACAGTATTAGACCTAACTGTTATTTAATGATGTTCTGATCATTTCATATAAGTTGAAAAAAAAATATCATTTCATATATAAATATTATAATAAAAAACTATATTGTTTCCACATGAAAGCAACAGAATAATTAAATAGTAGATTTCATTTATATATATTTTTTTCACTCCACTTGTAATTAGATACGCAATATGAAACATTTCCCTTGCCAACAGTAGATAAAAAAATAATTTAAACCACTCACACATAATAACACATTATCTTCTTACTGAGTTAATTTTTCGTCTATTTCGGTGGTTATTTAAAATATTCTTTAGTTCTTGATTGATGGCAGGGATAAAGCATGTTTACGAAAATTTATATATTAAGGATAGATTACACATTTTATAATTTGAGAGAGCTACTTTTGCTATGTTATGAATATTTTTAATTTAAAGAGAATTGTCATCTATATATAAAATATGAATGGTAATTGCGGTTTAAATAACAAAATTAATGTTTCATTAAAAAGTTTCATAACTAAATGAGATTAATTTTTTAAAATATATGTTCATCTAAAAATAAAATTTTAAATTTATAATAGAAAAATAGAGATATATTGTAATTATTAGTCCAAAATATCCCGAGCGATAGTACCAATGCAGACGTGTCACTGCCCAGTATATTGCCTTTCGCATTCTGTTCATTAAATCCCATTAATGAAGTGCCAAGAACTGGCCAGGTTCAATGTACCTCCAGTTCATTAAATCCAATGTACTTACCTTGAATACTGATTATTTTAAACTATAAAACGAAATATTTTTCGCGTGCAACATGTAACTTTTGCAAACACCTCGTATAGATCATTTCGACTCTAAGCAAATGCTGTATTAAATATTCCGATGGAAAATATATTGGTAACATAAGCTACTGAAAATATTATTAAAATAATTTTTTCCTCTATAATTTTATTCCTAAATATATTATTGAAAAATATATTTTCATCTGAAAATAATATTCAAATAAAATCGATAATGACAGAATCGTTTAAAAACACTTTTTTATATAAATAATTTCTTATTTTTGAAATACTTGTTTAAAAATAACAAAAGAAGCATATTAAATGTTTAGTGTAGAAGTCAACTTGTAAAATTCATTAGAATTGGAGTTTTATTTTATTTTATTGTCTTATAAGGACATGTAATTACGTAAAAGAGGGAAATAAAAAATTCATCACGAACAAAATAATTTAATTAAATGAGATATGTGGCTTTCTCCCCCTAATACGGATTGGCTCATAGGTTTGCGGAGACTGAGAGTGAAGATGTTGCGACCAGCGATACTGCAGTTGGTTGCGTTACTGGTTTTGGTTGTCTTCTTCAGTGCGAGTGGCGATTACATACCGCCTTCAAAATTGGATGGTTTCGTCTACGAGAATCACTCTTTCGATTTCGATTCCATTTTGATCGAAGCGTTTTACGATCCCGTTTGCCCAGACAGCAGGGATTCATGGCCCCCACTCAAACAAGCTCTTCACCACTACGGTTCTCGAGTTTCGCTTGTCGTTCACCTCCTCCCGTTACCGTTAGTCCTTACTTTCTCATATTTTTATTTTATGTAATACCTCGGGTTTAAATTTTATCATTAATCATAAATTCATTTTCAAATCTGAAATTCGGCAAAGATAAAAGACTCTGCTACATTGCGTTTTTAACATTATTTGTACCATTGCTTCAATTTCTTTTCCTTGCCTGCGGGGTGTTGAGATTTTGTTTTTCTTGACATCGCAGTTACCATGACAATGCTTTTGTTGCGTCTCGTGCTTTGCACATTGTGAACACCTTGAATGCATCTGCGACTTTTCCCTTTTTGGAGTGGCTCTTCAAGCATCAGGTTGATTTGTACTGTTCCGTAATCGATTTTGGTTGTGGTGTATTGATTGAATATGTGATACGTGTTGACTTGAAGCTTTAACTGTTGTGAATTTGGATGTTGAATTTGTTTCAGATAGATTGAGAGAAAAATGTGTTTTCCATTTTTATTTTAGTGATTCGTATTTAAAATGGACTTCGAAGGTTATTTGGCAGAGAAGTTTCAGCTTTTCTCAGTTTTTTTTAGCTTCTTTTGTTTCATATGTGGCTTTGCTCAACAATCGTACACGGCAGCAAGGCATGTATGTTGTTAGTATTAGCCATAACTGTTACTGTATAAGTAATTTAGAAAGAGCCACATGGCTACTTGTAAAATCATATTTCTGTGACTTAAAATTGTTTAGGTTAATGGCACTGTGATTTGTATCTTCTGTATTGTGATTAAGAAAGGGATCTAGGATGCAATCTTTCTAAATGAAAAGTTATTTAAGTATCTTGCTCACCATACCTGGTGCATACCATTTAACAGGAGAAATTCTATGGGGCTCAAACGCGGAACTTAACTAGGGTTTCTATTGTAGAGGAGATAGTGAAGTCTGCAGCAAAAGTACTTGGGAGCTCTTATTATAATTCCATACAGAATGGCTTCAATGACACAAAAACTGATTATCTGACCAGGGTTTCTTTTAAGGTAAGACTAAATGTTTGCGTTCAGGTTAATTACTAAGGTTATTAGAAGATATTTTGATTTGAAATTTTGTATTCAAAATTAATGTCTGGCTCACTTCTCTATCAAAACCAATTATCATGTTTGATTAATTGAGTTTCTTTGAAAATGCAGTATGCTGCTTCGAGAGGGGTGTATGGAACACCCTTTTTCTATGTCAATGGATTCTTGTTGCCCGATACTGGAGCTGCCGTTGACTATAACACCTGGAGGAAGGTCATTGACCCATTGGTTGGTGCGAAGAAGAGTTCAAAAAGTGAAGAATCCCTTCATTTCTTCCTGTGAGGATTGTAAGTATCTTTAGTTATTAGCACTTGACCAGTGAGGAAATGTAAAGAATGTATTTGCTGAATGATAGTGCTAATGCCAAGAATGCAATAAAGGAAATTAAACGTTATAAATATTCCTTAGTCCTTAGATATACATATGTAGCGTGGGTGGGGAATACGAGACACAGGGTACGGTGGCATTCAAGGCCGGCTTCGAAGTCTGCCTTAGATCTATGTTTATTTGATTTTCAACGTTTCTGGGAATATTGGATACATTTCCAAGGAATCTGGTAGTATTTTTATTTTATGTTTGGTTGGTTGACAATGACAATATTCCCAGAAATGAACAAAAATATAAATTATAAATAATAATCAATTTAGATTATAAATATCAGACTATTTAAGGTCTGTTTGGTTAAGTAGGCTAATGGAATCTAAGCATTAATTGAGATAAACAACCATGTTTCAGCGACATTTTTCTTAAAAGGGATTTTTTTTTCAATTCCAACGAAATATCCTTTGACAATACACAAACAAGCACTTAGTCTTTCAATCCATTAAAAAATCTTGCATTTATAATATTGAGGAATTATTTTATATATCTTTTTCAAAACCAAAACTGGATCGACTGGGTTTTTCAGGGGGGATTTGGGTGTTTAATAAAATAGAGAAATCATGGTCAATCGGGGATGAATTGCAGAGTGGAGAATCACAATCGGACTATGGTACACTTCCTGAACAATAATTTTTGGGTCTTGTGATTGATGCGAAGCATTGGTTTGTCACAACTCATCGAGTGTTTATTTTTTCATGGCACAAAAGACCAATAAGATGGAAAGAAATCTAGTAAGTGATTATTTCTATAAAATGCCATTGGGTTTGATTTTATTTTTTTAAACATTTTTCCTTCCAAAAGAACAAAGTTGGATCAAATAAAAGGTAACTTGTTTTATCGGCCATTAGTGCCCGTCGAAATAGATTAGATGGTCCATAGTTTCGAACATGGAAGTTAGTGTGTATTGATTTTTTAATTATATCATTGGATCAAGTACAGATTTATTTGAAAGAGGTCGCTTATTTTATCCTCCATAAGTCTGAGTCGAAATAGGTTAGGATTGTACACAGTCTCGTAACTTGGAAATTAATGTACATTGAATTCTAAATTGTATTCACTTCAATTTTTTTTTTCACTTTAACGTAGATCCCACGATGCAGGGTGGAACTTTTGTTTTTGGATGTCCTATGTATACCAAACATGAAATGTTTCGTCCCCATCCTAACATCCCAAGGAATGTAAAATTAACTCCTGCTTTAAACTATCCTTTTATTACCAAAAGCCGTCGGCCGATCATGAAAGTCTTATTAAAGGTGGTAATAATGGATGAACATTATAATTAGCGAGAGACATGGTATACTATTGTATTTACCATTTAAGAAGTATTTAATATATATTTTTGTAATGTTTTCATAGAAATTAAAAAGAGAATATCTTATACTTGTTGAATTTACAATACTATAAGAGCTTTCTTAGATTGGCTAGGCTAATACATAGAACAACAATATAACGAAGTTGCGTATCAATCCAAGTTATGGTCTTCATCTTTGATATATGCTCTGTCTGATCTTATTTTTATTCTTTCAGCATTTAATGGGAGACAACTATAGTGTCGAAGTTTTATTACAGAAAAATAACTCAGTTTATTTTTAAATTTCTATAGAAAAAAAATCTCTCTGTTTATCTTTTCTTTCCTCTAAGGGACGTGGACAACAACATTTGTCATTGATTTATTCGGCGAGGAGGAGTGTGATATAGTTAACTCAATGGACAATGCTAAAAAATGGTAATATTATTATCGTAAGCGCAATAAATAAAAAGTAAAAATTGCTTCATGAAGAAAAAAATTCTATCTTCTATATTCTATATTTATATGTAAAATTGACTATCACTATTTATTACTGTATATATTTACAACAAAATTTATGATTATTAAACTTTAAAATGCTTATAATTATTTATAATATTGATAATTACAATTACTTATTATTACTTTGTATATTTATATTAGATTTTATGATTATAAAAATTTAAAATATTTAGTATCAGTTACATTATTAGTGATACGAATGTTGCATTATTAGAAATAAAATATTAGCTATCATCTACTTATTACTATACATATTTATAACAAAAATTATAATTGTTAATATTTAAAATATTTAAATTTATTCACATGATTAATGATATGGATTGTCAAAAATAAATGTTGGTAATGTCAGGAACAAAAATAACATATTGACTATAAATTATATTTAATAACTATTTATTAAAATTAATTATAATATTTTGCATCTTATGAATTAAAATTATCATTGATTCATAATTATTATCTTTAAATTGTATTTAAAGAAGTTATATTAGAATTAATTTTATATAAATTATATTTAATAAAATATTATTAAAATTAATTACAATATTTCACATATCTTAATAATTTAAATTATAATTGATTCATAATTATTATATTTAAATTGTATTTTAAAAAAATTTATTGCAATTAATTATATATAAAAAATTTACATTAATAGTTATACAGTCTTAAGAATAAAAATAATATATTACTGTAATATATAAATTTGTAATTAAAATCTTACTATAATTGCTAGATTTGTAAATTTAATATTTTTATACTATAATAAATAAATATATATATATTATAATATTTTAAATATAAATTAAGTTTAAATATTATATTTATTTTTATATATATAATTTATTTTAACAGTAAATCGGAGGTTTAAATATTTTTTTTACAATTATGAAAAAAATTTACAATCAAGTAAAGACATGAATTAATATTTAAAATGTTATAAAAATATTTGTTAATATTTTTAGTATTAACATTTCAAACTATATTTATTTATTAATATTTTATATTCTAATTATGTAATTGTTGAAATCTTTTTAGATTAAAATTAAATTTTTAATACTTTTAATTTTTTTTTAAGTATTTAATCATGTAATGGACTTACAATTTATTCTTTAATTATAAATTAAATTATATGTAGAATATAAAGTACGATAAATATATTTTTTTGTATTGGTATAATTATTTATGATATTATATTCTTTAAATTAATACTAATTTAAAAGTTAAAAAATATTTTAAATTAAAATAATTAATCATTAGTATATATTTACTTATTATAAGTTAAATTTAAATATTTTATTTTAAAATCATAAATTAATAATTTTACACATAATTTATCAACTAAAGTTATGTTAATATTTATTTCAAATATTAAAAAATAAAAATTAAACTTCATTCAAATAGATCTTACTTAATAATTAAGTATAATACTAAACCTTATTGTTTATTATTTTTTTTTTTATATTTCTACTCATTAGTATATACATTTTTATGTATTTTTATTTTCATTTTTATGTTTTTTGAATTTATTTTTAAATAATTATTTTTTATGTTTACATCAACTCAAGAAAATAATAATTTTTATTATTGAAAAGGATGAAAAATATATAAAATATACAAAATAATTTATATATAAAAATATATTTATTATATTTTTTAATATAATTGTATTTGATATTATTTAATATAATAAAATTTTGTTATTAGATATTTTTACATTTAAATTATAATTTTTTGTTTATTTTAAAATAAGATAATTTAATAAAAATATAAATAAATTTGTATAACACACAAATATATTTTTATTAATTCATAATTAAATTATTATTAATAAAATTTATAATGTTTAACATTACATAGAAATTAAATTTAACTTTTATAATTATTTTTTATAAATCATTTTTTTTAAAATAATTAAAATTTTATTTTTATTTTTCAAACACATTAAAAATAATTATTATTTAAATTAAATTAACTAATAAAAAATATGAATATATTTATACAAATTTGTGCACTGCACGGATATATATTCTAGTTATACTGATATATTAATTTTGAATCAGTCAATTTCTTAATTTTGTTAAAAAAGTCTATTGGTCTTAATACATTGTTTTATTTTCCTCGGTAGAGGCTTCTTTCCCATTTTTTGGGTCATGTATATCTTTTATATATATATATATATATATTTATTTATTTATTTATTTTTGGGGTCAATATCATGTATTTCTCTTAATCACCACGATTTCTTGTTGGTCAACAATAAACACAGTTTAAAAAGCGGAACTATTTGTTGGATTGTAAATAGGCCTATACTTTTAGTTGGCCCATCACCAAGGCCCATTTTGGTTTGCTAGCTTGGGTAACAAGTGTAGTGTAGCGAGTGTGCAGAGGACATATGCCAGCTGTGCGACCAATACCATATTGCTTCTCCTTTGGTTTTCTTCATCACTTGTTCATCGTGTTAGGGTTTGCACCAGATTCTCCCAATTCCTTAATCGATTGCGCGGTTTCAGTAGATTCTTTTCACGATGACTCAAGATCTTGAGATGAAGGATCGCTCAACACCTTCTAACTCTGTTTCTTTACCTGCTCCATCTACTTTGCAGCGTAACTATATTTCTCTAACTCTTCTACTGTCATGATTTCGCACTTCTATTAAACCTTCCAATGTTTTTTTTTTTTTTTTGTGCTTTTGAAATTCGGATTCACAGATTTGAAGGAGATAGCTTCTCTTATCGAGACCGGTTCGTACTCGAAGGAAGTTCGTAGAATTGCTCGCGCTGTTCGCCTTACAATTGCACTGAGGCGTAAATTAACAGCATCCGTTATCTCATCCTTTCTCGATTATGTTCTTACCCCTGGTGCTGAAGCTCACACCAAATTGTCTGCTTATCTTCCCAAGGTAAACTTCTATGGTAGATTCAGGGTTTGATCCAAGTAAAAAAGGGTTTGTATTTTAAATTTTATTTTATTTTTATCATACTTTTGAATTATGATGTGGACGAAGATAGGTAGTTGTCTAGGGCCTATTTAATTCTAAATCATAATTATGAAGTGAATGAATTTTAGTAAATTGATGATCCCTCTAATAAACTTAGTTCTGTTTAGTTACTCGTGGAAAATTTGCATAGTTTTACTGCTGTTTAAGGCTTAATATTAATAGTGTGAGCTGGATGAGCGCCAATTAATGCATTAATTTGGTGTTCTCTCTCTCTGCTTTGTCTTCCCCGGGAAATATTGGGGTGATTCCTTCCTATGTTTTTATGGTGCAATGGTCATTCAAGTCATAATTTTGTTACTGTTACTGATTCTATAGGAGGATGATCATGAGATGGAAGTGGATGCAGCAACATCTGCTAGTCAAACCCCAGTTAAACACTTGTTACCTGAGCTAGAAATCTATTGTTACCTGCTGGTACTACTTTTTCTGATTGATCAAAAGAAATACAATGAGGTCAGTTTCCCTCTTGCTTACATTTTTTTGACCATGCAAGCTCATAAGTAACAACTGGTACAATGCCAATGTTGCTTTTACCTTTTAGGCCAAAGCTTGTTCCTCAGCTAGCATTGTTTGGCTGAAGAACACAAACAGAAGAACTGTTGATGTTATTGCATCCAGACTGTATTTTTACTACTCATATAGCTATGAGCTTACAGGAGATCTTGCTGAAATTCGGGGGTGAGTTAGGTGCTTATCTATGTAATACATCAATTTAGGAGGTTCAAAACTAAATTATATTTAAGTAGCTTATTTTAAACTAATTTTGCAAATTTTGTTTTCAGCAACCTCCTTGCGTTGCACCGGATTGCCACCCTGCGCCATGATGAGTTGGGTCAGGTTTGTTTCAACTCTCAACTGACTTAGAGGTTTTTTGCACAAGGGCTTTTGATCTTTGCTAGAATTCAGCACGTTGTTAGAACCAAGTGCATGTTTGCTAGCTGTTAACAGATTCTCAATTATTTAGCATTACTGATTTAAAAGTAATTAGGGCTTTGATTAAGGATCACATTTCTACTGTGTTCAATTATTCAAATAGTATAAATATACACTGTGGAGACTGGCTAGTCACTCAATTCATACAAACTCGTAATTTTGAACTTATCTGTTGATGCAATGCAGGAAACGCTTCTTAATCTTTTACTTCGTAACTACCTTCACTACAACCTATATGATCAGGCGGAGAAGTTGAGGTCTAAGGCTCCTCGATTTGAAGCACATTCAAACCAGCAGGTATGGTAGTACTGTTATCCTGAGTGCCAAAGTTCTGTTTTTTACTGTGGGTAGATCATCTGTACCTTTTATTCCAGTGGTCAGAGATATTGAGTTAAAGCCTCTGTGTTGAACTTTTTAATGTTTGTGTTAAAAGTAGTTTATCTAGTGTAGTTTATTGTTGTTAAAATTATCATATTTTGATTCTTTTTCCTCTCACGTCCACATTTGTTGCGTTTATTTTTCAGTTTTGTCGTTATCTCTTCTACCTTGGGAAAATCCGTACAATTCAGTTGGAGTATACAGATGCAAAAGAGTCTCTGCTGCAAGCTGCTCGGAAAGCTCCAATTGCTGCGCGAGGCTTTCGAATTCAATGTAACAAGTGGGCTGTGATAGTGCGTTTACTGTTGGGAGAAATACCAGAGCGAACTGTCTTTATGCAGAAAGGAATGGAGAAAGCTTTAAGACCTTACTTTGAGCTTACAAACGTAAGTCAACATTATGATCCAAAGTATCAAAGCTAGTTCTGATATCATTATGCTTATTTCAGTCTCTCTCTATCTCTGTTAATCATGCCTAGTAGACTTTCCCTTCTTGGTTTAATTATACATTCACTACCTATGTGCTTTGTGTCAGATGTACAATTTGAAATTTTTAAAAAAGTTTTCCTTTTCATCAGTATGTGAACTTTTTTTACTATTTGTTTCAACATTCAATGCTTCATACCACACAGCTCTGAAGAATTATTTCCTACAAGAGGTACACATAAGAGACACTATTAAAATTTGTTAACTATATATGAATTTGACATTTTCTATGGATCTCTGTGTTGAGTAGTAAAAAGGAAACACCAAAATAAACTCAACCAAGCTGAGGTGAGAATGTTACATTGGATGTGTTGATATACTATAGACAAGATATGATTAGGAATAAATGCATTAAAAAGAAAGATAACTCCCATTGCTGAAAGAATGGTAGAATCTTGCCTTAGGTTGTTTGGCATGTTTGAACTGTGGTGAGGACTTGTAGAGACCCTTGTAAGGAGAGTAAATTAGATGGAGAGTAATCCATCTCTAGAGGTAGAGAGAGACTGAGGAAAACTATAGGCAAAATCATTATGAAGGATTTAGAGGTTAATGATTTGCCTATAGACATGATTGAATTCACAATAGAACTTTATGACATTAATTAATCCATGTTGCTAACCAATCTAATAGGAAAAGACTTGGTTATTGTTGTTGTATAGAAAAACATTAAAACCTAGGCAGTTCTGGAATCGGGTACCTAGATTAGGAACATATGACCACTTTACTAGTAAACAGTGTTCAAAATGATGTTTAATAAGTAACCACTGGAGCGATCATTGTTTCTCAACCAAAAAATGTTTTCGGCAAATTTCCGTTGTATTCCGTGATTTTTTCACTTTTGCTCAAGGCAATGGCTTAGTGATCAACTGTCAACACCTCCTGCAAAACTGATGTCCTGAGTTAGTTATCATCATATCTAAACACAATTTATGTATCTATTGGGCCATTTTCCATCTTTAATGCTATCTTGGAAGTTTTTTTTTATTTCCTTTTACATCTAAATCATAGACCACTACATAGACATTTTGACATTCATAGAAATGCTTTATTACTATGTACTTCTTTATGGTAGTGTTAGCTGATGATGTGGAAATTTCAGGCTGTTCGGATTGGAGACTTGGAACTTTTTAGGAATATTGCAGACAAGTTTTCCACTGTCTTCCATGCAGATAGAACTCATAATTTGATTGTTCGTCTGCGGCATAATGTCATCAGGACTGGTTTACGCAACATCAGCATCTCTTATTCTCGCATCTCTCTAGCTGATGTTGCCAAAAAACTGAGGCTGAACTCTGCAAATCCTGTTGCTGATGCTGAGAGCATTGTAGCAAAGGCTATTCGTGATGGTGCAATTGATGCTACATTGGATCATGCCAATGGGTGGATGGTGTCTAAGGAAACTGGAGATATTTATTCCACAAATGAGCCTCAGTTGGCCTTCAATTCTCGGATTGCCTTCTGTCTTAACATGCATAACGAGGCAGTTCGAGCTCTTCGTTTTCCACCAAACACGCACAAAGAAAAGGAAAGTGCTGAAAAAAGAAGAGAGAGACAACAGCAAGAGCAAGAACTGGCTAAGCATATTGCTGAGGAGGATGATGATGATTTCTGATATTTTCACCGTACCAGTTGCAGTCAGGATATCTTCATTTCCAATCTTTGCTCATATTTACCTTTTGAAGAACTTCCATTATCATTTTCTTTTCACAAGGTGAATTTTTCATTCTAAGTGGAAGATCTCTGAAAGTCAGTTTACCACATTAAAATATTTACTGTTTTTCATCCTTGATGACTGCTATGGTTTGTTGACTTGTTCGGAGATTATGTTAGGATCTGAGAAGAAAAAGTTAAATATCTAGGACCGTACTAATTCTGTTCAAAAAGTTCTATTATTAGATGCTGTTGCTCTGAAGGATTTATTGAATTATAGTGTGATAATCAATTTTTCTATCGTGAATGATTCATTTTCTGAGTCCCCGGATGAAATCCTTACTTTCACATTTGGTTGGAGATTGGATTAAGACCACAGCTTGCAGCATGATTCAGTTTGTTTACCATGTTGGTTTTATGAAAATAGGGTTTTTTGGGTGTTACAAGGGAGGTCTAAAATCTGGTGTGGAAGAGGGGAAGGGTAGAAACAGGTAATGTGGTTTAGACACAGTTGTTCAAGTGCTGACATTAAGCACCCATTGTAGGGCTGCCTTTCGAACTGAGTCTTGTTTTATTTGTGAACATGTCTCTGAAGGTTCTCTCCCTCCCGTTGACGTTCCCAATCAATTGGGCTTATTTGTGAAGATGCATTTTCCCATCACTGATGAGGTCGTGGGATTTATTTGTAGTTGAGAAAATAAGTAAACGTGCCGCGGTTTACATCCCGCGGTTATTAAAGCTTAATTAGAAATGCTTTGGTTTTTCTTTTTACTTAATTTGTGACAAGTTCTATATGCGTATGAAAATAATGATAATTGAATTATGATTTATACACACTGCATAAAATGGATCCTCACGTTGAACCTGAACATGAAAATTGAAAGGTCGTGTTTCATCCTCACGTATAACACATTTTATAATTTTTTAAATTCTGTTTATACTTAAATAGGTCTCTTTCATTGAAAGAATATCGCTTAGATAATTTAATAAAATATTCTAATTTTTCTCGAAATGCTTTTATTATTAAAGAAGAAAATCTGAACGTTAGGGTATTTTACACAAACTTAGCTTTATAGTATTTTATTGTATTTCAAATAACTGATCATCACAAAAAGTATAATAGTTAATATTATCAGATATACTTTTATCATACTTTTTATAAATTATTTATTAATTCCTAAACTATTATAACAATATTCATCTAAGAGCAACGATTAGCAAAAATCAATTTATCAATATTCACCTAACCGGTCCAAGAAAAAGAGTTCAAGATTTATAAGTTTTTCTTACAAAATCAATTTGCTACTTTTAAGCGTCTTTTTACTTTTATTTCTTATAAGCATATTGGAATCGAATAATTCAATTTTTGCGACATACTCTCACATTTACTTTCGCAATAAGGAAAGAGATGAGAAGAAAAATATCAAATAAATAAATAACGTGGCAAATTTTTTCAAAAACATAAAATAAAGATAACATACTCTTTAAATTAGCAAGGAAGATTCAGAAATAAACAGGAAAAAGGTAAAAGAGGGAGAAAATTTGGTACAACAGGTGAATATGTCGACATGGGGAAATGTAGAATCTTGATTGCAGTTGGGTACGGGTCCCATCTTGAACTTAATCGTCGCTTTGCTTGCCGGTGTTGGCCTGTCACAACTCACAACTCACAACTCACAACTCACAACTAGACGAGATCAAGTATAGATCAGTCCAATAGGTTTCCAATATTTTATTTCACAATTATCCAACCCCCATTTGCCTCTGATTTTGTACTCTATTCCCATCATTTTAGTCTCCACATGGGCCATTCTCTGATTGAATCGACGGTGATATTGTAGAGGTGCTTGCCAACACTCCCTATGCCTCGTAGCACCATATCACCGCCGTGATTATCTGTTTTAGTCAAAATGGGACATGTGGATATAGCTCCCTAATTATGACATTGTCAAGCATTTGCATGTGACCATCGGTGACATTTGCTTCCATTGCATAAAAATATTGCCTGTCATTTTATCCACAAATACTACAAACCAAGGTATCAGTTGTGACAATAAAACCAAAAATTGGGGAAAAAGTACAGAATGGAAAAAGAAAAGACACGATCAACTGGGGTTGTGTAATTAATCTTGGGTTTTTTCGATACATTCACGACTCCCTGTGTTGAGAGCGCATGTGAGTGAGAAGGGAAGTGTAAGATAAGAGAACGTGGGAATAATTGAATGACATTAAGAACACTGCCGATTTGCACAAAAAAAGTTAGTCAATAAATAATATTCTTTTGCTAAAAAAAATATTTTTCCTAACAAATTACATAATAAGAAATTATATTTAATAAATTTTAATTAAAAATTTTAGAATTTAATATATTAATACTATAAATGCTTCAGTTTTGAATAAAAATCTTACTCAAATAACTTCTTATCTGGCCAACAATTCAGATTAAAAAAATAATAATAAAATAATAATAGTTCTTTCTTTGTTGCAGCCCAAGCATGTGCCATGGTTGCCTTAGAGACTCTGGTCCTTTATTTAAAGACTATCTTGGTGCTTAGAAATGTCGATATAAGTTAATACGATTCTATTATTGCATCCTTCATTTTCAGTTCAGTGCGTAAAGCTAGATACTAATGGCCAAAATCATGCTTATTTTGGTCAGCTTCCTCGTATTATGCTGTTTCACTATAATTACTTGCGCCTTCTCACCCTCTGGATGGACCAGTGCTCATGCCACTTTTTATGGTGGTAGCGATGCCTCGGGGACAATGGGTGAGTCGTTCTACTTTTTCACATATCCAAGAATGTTTTTTTTTAGAATTGAAGTGTTGTAAGAACATTGGTTAGAATAAATAAAAAAGTAATGGTAAAATTATATTAAAGATCACAATTAGAGTATTGGGAACTTTTCTTTTATAAAAATATTTTCACTTCTAATTGGAGTGTGCGAGTAATTGCAGGAGGAGCTTGTGGGTATGGGAATCTGTATTCAACAGGGTATGGGACTAGTACTGCAGCATTAAGTACTGCGTTATTTAATGATGGAGCTTCGTGTGGAGAATGCTACAAAATCATGTGTGATTATCAAGCAGACTCCAAATGGTGCTTAAAAGGAACATCCATAACCATAACTGCCACAAACTTCTGCCCTCCTAATTTTGCTCTACCCAACAACAATGGTGGATGGTGCAACCCACCTCTCAAACATTTTGACATGGCTCAACCCGCTTGGGAAAAGATAGGTATCTATAGAGGAGGGATCCGTGTTGTTCCAAAGGTTTGAACTTTATTCTATATCTTTTGTGTAGCAATATTACCCTTTAAAATTAGATATCGGCATCAATATGAGATGAGCATATTTGTTTCGAGGCCAATTAAGGAAATTGTTGTGTACAACTTTTGGGGACAATTTTAATTGTCTCTTTGTATTTTAATTGTATTTGTGGGATGTACGTATTACAGAAAAAGATAAAAATAAGTAAACATAAAAATAGTTATATGCAGTATGCATATACATAGCCAATGTTTATTCTAATAATAGATATAGATATGATTATTTAACATTGCAGGGTTCCATGTATGAAGAAGGGAGGGGTTAGGTTCAGTGTGAATGGGAGAGACTACTTTGAACTTGTGTTGATCAGCAATGTGGGAGGGGCTGGATCTATTCAATCCGTGTCTATTAAAGGCTCAAAAACTGGATGGCTGATTATGTCAAGAAACTGGGGTGCTAATTGGCAATCCAATGCATATTTAAATGGTCAATCTTTGTCCTTCAAGGTCACAACAACAGATGGAGTAACTAAACTTTTCCAAGATGTTGTTCCCGAAAATTGGGCCTTTGGCCAGACTTTGTCTACCAATTTCCAGTTCTAAGGCAACAACCACAGGCTATAGAGTTCTTGGTCTAATTTGGAGTTTCTCATAAACTAAATGGCAGAGGCGTGCTTATTATTTTACTGGAGCAGCCCGCCACCCTTCTCATAGTTTTTGGATTTGGTAATAAAGTGGACCGAACCCATGAACTCGAAGACCTTGATGAAGAGCCCATGCATTTGTTCTATGAAGAATTATATGTCAGCTGTAAACCATGCAGAAATAAGAACCTTCAAAGTTTATATCATTCTGTAAGTTTTTGTTATGGTTGTATTGCGGGTATTGGAAACACTAATTCACTGAAATTCTATATATGAGTTATTGCAAGTCTAAAACTAGAGTTCTGTTTTTTGCCTATTACTTTCATCAGCTGAATCACACGCTTTAGAAAGTGGAAGAATACACTCGATTCAGATCGTCTACAGTACATGTTATAGTTCTGTCAAAGAAAAATAAAATTATGAAAATTTTATTTTCTATTTAATTAAATATTTAAGTGTTACAAGAGACATGTCAAAGAATATAGTGTAAGAAATAAAGCTTACAACGAATCGAGCAAATCTTTGTTTTTTTATATAAAATTATGTATTTTTCTCTGGGAGATAATCATATGTTGACCAATGAAATTTTTTTTAAAAATTGTCAAATTCATAACGCACACCTGTCTCGCATCATTCTAAAACAGAAGAACAATTTTTCACATGCTTTCAATATTTTTTTAATTATTTGTAAATCACTTAGACTTATCTTTTATTTAAGAGGATTCCCATTACCATGTTTTAAATTTTCTCTCTGACGTGTTTCACGTAAGTTGCACACATCCAAACAGGGAAACACGTGTTTTCGTTCACCCGTTTGGGAGGAATGCTTGTATTTTCTTCTTTTTCTTTTGGTAAATACAGGTTATTTTCATTCTATGGCAATTTTTATCGTCATCATCGACAAGGGATTAATTGGTTTAGGATTTTTAAAAAAAAAATTAAGTAAAAAAATCTATTAATATTTAATCAAGATTTTATATTACTTAAAAAAAATGCAATAGTATTTAATATGAATTTTCAAAATTTTTTAAAGAGTCCATTAAAATCTATTGATATTCATCCGAGATGTTTATCAACTTAAAAAGAATTCATCGGTATTAAAAAATTTAATAATTTTAAAGAATTGTTGTATTAAAGGGATTCTGAAAAAATTTTTAGTAGTATTTATAAATATCAAATTCATAAAATAATCTCATCCAAAATTAGATTTTGGACAATTGTTTGAAGTGACTTTTCAAGTGTTTCAAAAATTTTTAAGCAAGTTTTTTATTTTTTTTTCTATGCTCCTGCCTTTTTTTTTTTTCTGCTAATAATGTTGTACTGTTGTTCATATATAATATTGTACTATTATTTCAATTCCATTCTTCTATTTAGTGAAAATGTAAATGACAATGCCATTGACTGTTCCTCAAATATATAACACAAAAAAACTTAAAGTTTTAACTTTTAAGTAATAAATTTTTTATAACACGCGCTAAGAAAAGAAAAAAGTAAATATTAAAATTGATATCATGATCTCTACAATCAACTATAAATTTTCAAATAGTTAATAAAAATCATAATTTTGAGCCTATTATTCAAACTTAAGAGCAAACTAATGTTTGGAGGATTAGTATAACTATGAATATGTGAGTGAATGCTATTTAAAAAGATATAATATTATAAAAAATTATTATTATTATTTGTTCAGACATTATTATTTTTTTATTATTTTTGTCTTTAACTTTTTTTAAATTTAAATGTATAAAAAAAATCTTGAACTTTATATGAAAAATCTATTAAATTATGCAAAATCCACGAAGTTTCACATAATTTATTAAAATTCTAATTTAAAAGTCTTGCAAAATTCACTAAATCTTAATTTTAAAGTCTTATAGAATCCTGCAAAGTCTTTTAAAATCTGTAGGAATTGCTTCAACTAAAAAAATCTATTAAATCTTAATCCAATACACCTTCCTAAGAGTCAATCTATTTTTACTCTCTAAAACGAGCGTGAATAAGAAAAGTATATAAAAAAATGTAAAATAATCAAAGTTATTTTCCTTTTACTTAAAATTTTTTAAAATAAGAAGAATAAATGAAATATTGTATTTACACTCATTTTTTTTTTCATAAATAAATTTTTTGGTCCATGTTTTGTTTTTGGGGCCGGAGATGGGCTATTTGATTTAAGCCAATGGATAAGTAGAAACATGGAGCCCGTGGAGTGAAGCTAGTTAGTTGGACTTGGTAAAGCCCAATTAGATATACCAGAACAAAAACACAGAGAAAGAGAATCCTTCATTGCAGTCACTCCTGGTCCTAAGCACTAACTGAACTAATTAGGTGGTTCTCTTATGTGACATGCGAGTGTTACCCTATTTGAAGAAGACCGTTTGTTGCAGTTTCTTTCTGATTAAGAATAGAATGTCGACCATAAACAAGGACGAGACCGTCAATGAATCGAACTGTTCAGAAAGCAAACAACATGAAGAGGAAGAGTTACAGAAGCTTCTAATCCCTGATGTACAGAATCTTCCCCTCACTCCTCCTTCCGCGGTTGAATCCAACTTTGCCATTTACTTCGCTCTAGGTTATTTCATTCACGCTCATTTAACTCCAATTCAATTGACAACCTTTTTTTTATAAACCCTAAACCTCAATTCCAGTTTGTTAAGTATTGATGAAAATAATTGATTAAATATTTTGATGTCCAGATTTTATGAAGCCGGCTCATGATCAGTACGTTTACCGCCATGCCAATGGGTATACTATTGTATAGTCGATGCAGCTTTTTCTTTCTTTTGATGTTTTCCTTTAAACTAAGTTGTGTAGGTAACTATTATTATTTGTTTTTAATTCTCTGTAACTGTTTTTGTGACCTTTAAGCTTGTGCGTGATTGGCTTGGCTCCTTCTCACGTTGCTTTCAAGGATGAAGGTGGAATCACAGCAGTTGATTTCAATGTTGGAAAGTCTGATCGCAGCGGGGTGAAGGTCACTGGAAAGCGCAAGAAGGTGTGTTTTCTCAATTTAAGACTAGAATGGATGGCTTTGTTGTTGTGCAATGGACTTAGAGGTGAATGATATTGTACAATGTTTTTGCAAGTGGATTGAATTGCGAGCTTTTATCTTGTATATAGGGTGTGTTCATGAAAGTGCAGAGCTTGCAATATCTGTTTATGATCTCATTGAGGCGTGTGTCATAATGGTATTTTTTGGTGAATCTTTGTGCGTTTTAAAATGTTATACTATCTGAAAATAGCATCTTCTCCTCATTATTACTAAAATAGGATGTGGTTTTGTGCAGAATGCCCAGCACTTTGAGTCCAACACGGCTTTGTGTAAAGTTTCTACCAAAAATGATACTTATATTGTGAGGTAAGTTCTCTATTGTAATACATCAATATGATTGTCTAAGGCTTATTTATGTGTTTGTCTGTGTTTGTGTACTTTGTCAACCTCTCTTCTTCCTGGATGTCCTTTTAAACTCTGATAGCTTAATTTGTGACTTTTCATAGATGTTGTGTCAAGGGCTCCCTTTTGGAAGTGAATCAACAATTAATCAAGCAGCCAGATCTGCTTAATGTTTCGGTAAGAATAACTAAATTCTTTATCCATCTTTATTTTTTCATGCTGGGATAACATACATAACCCTTTCTTATTACAATAATAATCGTGATGTTCATGATATTTGCAGCGATTGCCGGGGTATATGGTTGGTGTAGAAGTCCATTCGTCAGGGTGAATGTGTTTGACCCTTAGTATGTGCTAGAAGAGGAAAATGAGGGAGTAGTAGGTCTCTATGGTGGCCCACTCCTAATGGTTAAAATGTGGTTTAAGATTTTTTTAATGAGAGTCTGTTAGTTGGTAAACTGTTAGTTGCAGTTGGGGTAATTGAGAATATGATAGATTGGAATGGGACACTGTATATAAAAGGGAGTTGGGTAGAGTTGTGGTGCAGATTGGGAGTAATCAGGAAATATGAGGGAGAGTTCATCTTCATTCTGATCCATTCCCATCAAAATGATTGCTGCAACTGCTAAATACTTGATGTTTACTTGAGATAATCCATGAGTTTTCTGTACCTGTCTTCATCCTAATGCCGTGCATTTATGCTATGTAGTATCTCTAACTTTTTTCTATCTCCTTTTGTTTACTCCTTACAAATTTCTTTTCATCAACCCTTCAGGCTGACAGAGAAGGGTACATTGCTATTATCATGCCAAAACCTGCTGATTGGCTCAAGGTCAAAGCTTCCTTTGTTAGTCATCAGGAGTACAAGAAATTGAGGGAAGTCAGTTGAATCAGTAGCGTCCGGTGCCCTATGATGGCATCATAGAGATTCTGTAAGAAGAATGGTACCATGTTGAAAGTGCTTACACGATTTCCGCGGATGATGCTTCATTTTGTGAGGTCCCAAACGCATCAAGATGGATGAAATTGATAATTTTTAGGTGCAGCAGATGGTGAGAAACTTCATACTCCGTGAGATTGCTGCTTGCCAAGTGACGGGTCATGTTAGATTAAGATAAATCTAGCTCCATAAGCAACCATGAATCTCATGATGAGCTAGTGGGCGACCATTCTTTAGGATTCTCTCTTTTTTTGTGCTATTTTATTTATTACTGTTGTTATCATTATTCAAAACTTGAATCATTTGAACGATTTAAGTTAATAAGAAATGATGATGATGAGTTTTGGCCACTTTCATCACCTTTTAAGATAATTACTGACTAGATTCTTGGAAACAATATTCTAAATAGCCATTTTATGCTTCATCTCATCGCCAACAAAAAACAATGTGATATGTTTGCTTTGTTGTGTACATTCATTTTTTAAAAAGAAATATAAAATAAAATCAGGTTGGACGCTTTTCCATTCTAATTTGTATGACGGGCATACCTGTAAAAGAAGCATGACTTATTAATAATTTATATAAAAAGAATAAAAGTACAGTACAGGAGGACTTACGATTGTGTGTGTTAGAAACGTTGCACCTACAAACAACGATTCTAATGCGAAAGCATGAGTCTCATCACACTTTTAATTATTTTTTCATATAATAATTTATTGAATGAAATACGCAACTATTTTTATTTTATGAAACTCTAACAATTGCCTGATACAGTAAATTCAAAGAATTACACAGACCTTTGGAAAATTGAAACCATGGGCACTCGCCAAGCCACTAGCGGAACTTTCCTCTCCGAACGGTGGATGTGACCGCGCAGAAGTTTCTCATTGCTGAAAGGAAAAGATCATGGGGTGCCGATTTTATTTATTTTTTCTTTTAACATTGTGTCTCCGTAATTTCTTGCATAAGTAGCCTTCTAGATCTGTTCACAGTAAGAAAACACAAGTAAACATGCTCTTCAAGCTCTTCCAACATATCCAAAAAGTTATATTGATTATCATCAAACTCCTTGACGACCCTCTTCAATGTTTCACACTTGCCATTGGTCTTCAAACATATATCAGCAACCTCTCTCCAGTGTTCAACCTCATCGTCTAATCTCTTAACCATACGGCTCATAGTATCCAAGTCATTGATCAATATATAAACCCCTTTGGCTGCAACATCAAGTTGCTCACACAATCTTCTAGAAGAGCTTGTGTTATTGTTAAGCCTCTCATGAATCCCCTTAAATCTCTTCCTTACCAAACCAAATAGGCTTAGACTACCCACTACACAAGGTGCAACCGCTAACCCAATTGTGCTATGAAACGCAAACACCAATAAAGCCACCACAAGAGCGCTTTGTGCAATCACTAATCCAATTCCTCCAACCTTCATGCAAACTCGCTTTATTGCCAACATTCTTCGAATTTTCGTTCTCTTTGACATTAATCTACGAAGGAGGATCATGTATCTATCGTGAATGTCACGGAACATAATAATGGACAAAGGGTTACTTTGTATTACGAAGGAAGAAAGTCCGGTGCAATTGGCCTTTTGGGATTGGTCCTTGACAAAAGTGGCGACTCTTGCATAAGAACATCGAGTTTGATGGATGGCTTGAAGGATTGTGTCGCAACAACGGCATGCTTCTAAGCTGGCCTCAAAGTAGTCCACCAGAAGAGGGTGCAACTTCATGTTAGTTATAATTTCTTGCCGAGGTTCTAGCAAATATTCAGTGAGGTGCATGAAAGAAGGTGTGGGAGAGAGTGGTCTTGTGCTTGGATTTCTTAGCTGCCCGTGTGCTTTGTTGCATATTTCAACGTATGATTTCGTTCTGAATGCTTCAAGGTATTCTCCATTCACGTTTGGCGTGCCACATAAGCTACCTTCTTCGCGTTCTTTCCTTGATCTACCTGGTTATTTTGCATCAAATGAATTTCATTATTTAGTTAAATAGCTAATTATTGGACCATGAAGAAGAAGAAATAATTAAACTCACCCGTTCTTCGCAAGGGCGTTAGCCACCTAGAGTTTGTCATCTCCTAAATAAAATGTGTTTATTAGAGATCGATTAATTTTATTATGATGATTTTATATATATATAAATCTGTGTATTTGTACATACACGAAGAGGAAGAGATATATAGAGATCAAGAAATGTTGTGGGTTTCTGACTTGCGGAGAAATTAAGAAGAAACCATTTGGCAATAGGCACCACCACAAAATGTGTGTTATGTTGTGTTATGGCTTTGAGTACAAGTAATTAGCTTACTTCACACGGTGTGTTTTCCTACGTGGACAGACATGGACAACTCTCCCATTTCAATTCATCTACGGTAAACTAGACGACTTCTTTGGTATCATAGTCACTATTTAAGTCAAATAAAGAAAAGTTTACTAATTAAGCTTTAACATCAATTTTTTTTTTCAATAAAAATTTGTTAACTTCAATCCTTAATGTTAAAGATAAATAACTAATAATAGTAAAATTTTATTAAAAAAATATTTATTATATTTTTATATCTTTAATATAATAACTATGTTTTTTATAAAAAAAAATATATTTATAAATATTTAAATTCAGCTTTAAGAGTTAAAAAAAAAAAAAACCTTTACAATATGTTGATATTGGACATGGATATGTCCTACTTCATGATGGTTCGGCCAATTAAGTTGTAGAAGTGATATGACTTGAAGGATCTTGCTGGTACCACCGTCTCCATCCTTGTGTGTTCTCTTATGCGCGTTCTGAATTGGAGGATTAAATCTCTCTGCCTCATCTCAAATTTTTGAATGATTAATTAAGTCTTAATTATTAGTTGATGAGATGTATAGATTGATTAATGTGTTTTGAATCTTAGACGACACGGAGGATTAACTTTTGTATATTAAACTATTACTTGGTTAAGTAATCTGTGCACAATTTATTAACAAAGTTAATTATAGCACAGATAATAGAAATTACGTAAATATAAAATCACACATATGAAATGATCTTCATTCCAATTAAGTCTGCAAAAATTTGCCCATAGAGGCTCTGTATTTTTCCATAAAGTTATGAATGATTTTGGAAAATTAAAGTTTGTTTCCGAAATCCTGACCTGAGATAACTATTGATAACGAAGGCGTAGTGAGTAAGATAGGAAGCACATATGGCATTATAGAAACATATTAACGTGGGGTCTTGCAACTCTCGTTCAATCTTTATCTGTTTGCCACGTTATTTGAGAATATCCCTACGGACTTTGCAATGTCATTATTTCAACATTTTTAGAACTAAGAAAGTAAGGATTACAGGTTATCTCTTCACCTATTCAGAAATTCGTTTCTTGCAGAAGCAACAGATGATATTTGAGTGATTAATTACGTCAGCTCGTCCCTCGAGTAGCAAGATTGAAATTAGGGAACACAAAATACTCCTATCAGGACATATTTGCAAATAACAATTTGTTTTATATGAGTAAAATTACTTTCATAGACTTAATTAAACAATATTTTTTTACTTGTTTATTAATGTGACAGGTGAAAATATTATTATTATGAGCTTTTTATATTTTAAAAAATCAATTTTCAAAATCACGTGTTTACATTCTCATAAACTAAATTTTAGAACTGTTAACATTTTTAAAAATAAATTTTTAGAACTATAATTCTATAATTTTAAAAATTAATTTTTAAAATTAAAATTCTACACTTACTTTTGAAAGTTAATATTTAAAAGTATAACATACTAATTCTAAAAAATTATTTTTGAAATGGTTAATAATTTCAAAAGATAATTTTGAAATTATACAACTCTAATTCTAAAAATTAATTTATAAAAATTTAGAATCTTGATATTAAAAATTCAGTTCTAAAAGTGGAATTTTTTTTATAAATAGTTAGTTATTTAAAAAAATTCAAAAGATCATCGACATTAAAAGGATAATATGAACACTAATTTATTGAAAAAAATTAAAAAACAGTAACAATGGTTGGAATACATTTAAAGAAAGTGACAATAAAAAATGGTTAAATTTTTTTTTAATAATTTAAATTACAGTTATAAATATTTAAAATATAATTTTTACACAAATTATTAATGAGAGTGTGAAAAAGAAAAAAAATCCCCTTTTTTGAAATGCGAATGTGTCTTAGTTGCTAACGACAGATTTGTGATTATTTGTCTTTTAGTTCATGTAAAATAAATTAAAAAACAAATTTTTTTTAACTATTAATTTAAATAAAATAGTTTATAAATATATTTACTTTTAAATTAATGATAATACTTTTTTTAACATGTTTCTTTCACTTTAAAAAAGTAATCGGAATGTTTATTCAACAATATTGCTTAGATGAAATATTATATGTGTTTTTTTAATAGAATTTTACTTTAACGTGGATGTGTAATGTTAACTTTTATTATATAAATTACTAAAATAAATATTCAATTTACTTAACGAATAATACTAAACATCTATAATATTGTCTAAATTTTCCTCTTTTTTTTTTTATTAGAATTATTCCTTTGTATCAGCTTATTACTAAAGTGCATAGTGCTATTCGTGAGCTCTGTTGAAGTTGTTTGGGACTTGCGTTTTTCTCATGCTTTTTTTTAATCCTTTATTGATTTATTTTTTTATAATAATTATAATATTGCTTATTATTGTTATTATTATTATATTTTTAAATATGATATTATTGAGTATTATTTGTATCTTTTATGATATTGTTTTATCAACATGTTTGTTTTACAATAATAATATAGCATAGACATAATAATATTTTTGCATTATCTTTATCATGTGATGCAAATATTTTAGTATTGAATATTTGATTGTTTAAGATATTATTTTTTAAAATTTTAAATCTTGATATATCACATAAAATTGAAGATACTTTTTAAATAAACTAAAATTCAATATTATTATAATCTTAATCAATCTTAATTTAAATTTTAAAATTTTTATAGTTTTTCTTAATTTCAATTCCTTTAATATTAAACAAAATAATAAAATATATTATTAATTATTAATTATGTAGATTAGACTGCTTGCATTGGAAAAAGGCCCAGGCTTGTGCAAGGCAGAGGGTAACAGAGTAAACGAATTACTTTTATTATTAAAGTGGGCTTAACAATAAAAGTAGAAGAGGGGAAAAAAAAAATAAAAAGGCCCCGAAGAAGACGTGCAAATTTAGGTTTGATAACAGGTAGGCAATAGCTGCTACAACACTGTTTCTGTTTGAGTCGTAAAACAGAACGAGGAGAGGAGAGAGAGAGGAGAAGAGAAGAGAAGAGAAGAGAAAAGGGGAAGAACAGATCGCAGGTTTCGAGAGGACAGTGAGAGTGAGAGCAAAGCGCAATAGCCAGAGGAAGAGGGAGAGGGTTGTGCCACTGCAATCTCTCTTTGTCACAGTTTTCTTCGTTGCCCCCTTCTACCATCACAAACCCTAACTCATTCTTTCTTCTTCTTCTTCTTCTTCTTCTTCTTCTTTCATTTATTTATTTATTTTTTGAAACAATTTTCATCGGTTACCATCATCGATTCGTTAATTTGTCCATCGATTTATTTATCCATGTTTTGGTTCATACACTGATCAATCAAAAACCCATCCATCAATCTTTCTGCGCGGAACCAGAAACCCTAATTGGCAATGGTTACCACCACAGTTGATTCTTCTTCTAACCATCACTCGCCCACTAGTGCCGCTGCTAGCCCTAAGTTCCCGCGAAAAAACCTACCCTCTCCCTGGGCTCAGGTCGTTCGCGGCCCAGACACCGAGCCCAACCGTCAATCGCCGCCGTCTTCTTCTTCCTCTTCATCATCCCTTGATTCCGTTAATTCTAACGGTGCCGTCATAGATATCCCTACGAAACCTGCTTGGAAGAGACCCTCCAATGTCAACGCCGAGGTTGGTCCCGTAATGGGTGCTGTCTCATGGCCCCCTTTATCTGAATCCACCAAGCCTTCGGCTAAATCGACACCTGATTCTACTTCTCCCAAGACTCCCACTGATGATGGGTCACTCTCCACTCCTCAGGTTCCGTTTGTTATCTCGAAATTCTGTTAATTCGACAAAAGAACGAATTTAATTTATTAATCTGAGGGGTCTATAGGTTCGTAATGTGGTAATGTAGTTTTTTAATGATGGCATATGTTCGCATTATCAAAGAGTTGAGTGGGTGTATTAGATTGTGTGTTTACAGAAAATAGTGGTGGTGAGTGGTGACCTTTCTGTTGTTTTGTAGGTGCCTGTTATTTCAGACTCCTCTCAGAAACAAGCTAGTAGTAACGTGAAACCTAATCCTGTGATGAACTATAATAGACAAAGATCGATGAAGCGGGGAGGTGCCAATGGCAATGGCGTTGGGCCTGGTCCTGCACAGAACATCTACTCCAACCCTTCCCCAAATCTTCCACCGCCGTCACCACCCTTTCCTGTGCTTCAGATCCCGCCAAGTACGTTTGCGAATGGGGTACCTGTGGTTCCAGTTCCTTCTCCGAGAGATCCTTACAGGAATAACTGGGATGCAAGACCTCCGGTTGGGGGTTTTACGCCACCCATGAATGGACAACGGAGTCCCTCTCGCAGGGGTAATGTTGGGCATCATCCACGTGGGGATGGTACCTATCATAACAGTTATGGCAACAGGCGTGATCAGGATCGTGGAGGTTATACAAATTCTCGAGATGCTCATGTACATCAGCAGAGGATGCCACCAAGGGGATTAATGAGGCCTCCACCACCTAATCCTGCTTCGTTTATGGGGCCTCAGCCTTTGCGACCCTTTGCAAATCCTGCTGGGTTTCCTGGTCAGTTTAGTTATTCTTTTATTTGATTGGTTGCTACATCAAAACAAAACTAATGCCCCCGTCTCCTTCTTTTTAGAATTCTATTATTTTCCAACACTACAGTTTGAACCCTTTGGGGGCATGCCATTCTTCACACATGCACCTCCTCCTGCAATGTTCTTCCCTGTTGCAGAAACTCCCCTGACCAATACGATTGCCAACCAAATTGACTATTACTTTAGGTAATTTTGTTTGTTCTCTGTTATTTAGTTTGCTGTCAAATCCTTGGCTGTTGAATTTTCTATTCATTATTGATTTGTTTTTGACAGTGATGTTAATTTAGTGAAAGATGAGTTTTTAAGGTCCAACATGGATGAACAGGGTTGGGTTCCAATTTCTTTGATTGCAAGCTTCCCACGTGTAAGTTAATTGTGCTTGATTAAGCAATACTTTCAACACTTTCTCTGCTAAGCACTTGAATTATGATGCGTGTGTGGCATGTTGGAGACTTGGAGCCAAAATTTTGCAGCTAGAATTTATGTATATTGGTGATATTTGATACACTTCCTGATATTATGGTTGGTTGATTTTAAGCTTGTAATAGTCATTTGTTCGTTGTGGACAGCTAAACAATAGATTCTTGTTCACCTTATAAGAAGCAGATAATGAATTTTATTAGATTTCATTTCGTTCATCCTATTGTAAATGATACAAACAATGACAGCTAATATCATTCCTTTCTATGCCTCTCCATTTGATCCAAACGTAGCCTGGGACATCTCTTAAACTCCTCAAGCAGCACAACAATTGCATTGGGCTTGTGTTTTGAGGGGTTTAAACTTTAGAAAAGACATTGATCCTAGTATTGTAAGAAAATTTCTGAAAGTGGAAAGTGTATATCGCTGGTCAAATTTTCTCCTGAATATTTCTTTTTGAAGCATTAATTTTCTTTTAAAAGTTCAGATGTTTGATACTTATTTTTCATAGAAAAATAAGTTAAAATTATTTTTTAGAATGCAAACAATTTGGAGACGTAAGAAAGACTTACATGCAGATATGAAAAGGTTGAACAAAGAAATTAATGGTTATAAGTAAACATTAGTATGTGGAAATTCAATGTAATATTGGTATAGCTTTTGAATTTGCTTGAGATATTATTTACTGAAATAAGTGGTCATTGAAGTTTGCATTTTGAATTGAGTGTATCCAGTGCAAAAGTCAAGTTGCGACATTAAACTTTCATAATGCGAAGTATTTTTGCTCTAAAGAAAATTCCATTTTTTGCAGGTTAGAAGTTTGACAAGCAACATTAAATTGATATTGGATTCATTGAGAACTTCCACTGTTGTGGAAGTGCAGGTAAGTTCTTATTTTTATATTATTTGGTGTCATTCTACTTTCACTGCACACTTCAGTTCATCGCCATGTTAGTGATGTAATAGAGGTGTTTGAAGTATATTTAATAGTCCTGAAGCGATTCAATTTATTATATTTTCTAATTAGTTAATTGTCCCTCTACTTTGCCACAGGGTGACAAGTTGAGGAGGCGTAATGAGTGGATGAAGTGGCTGCCCTCTACTCAGCTTCGGGCCAATTCTGATTCAATGTCTCCTGGCGAATCAAGTGGCAATAACCTAGCAGCTGATTTTGAAAAGATCACAGTGCACGAAGAAACTACAGATAAAGTTAATTCTGAACCTACCACCAACGGTGATGCTGCAGGAGAGTCCTCCACTCAGTCTAAACTCCCCAATGGTGATGCTACAGGGAGCAGGAGTTAAAACAACTCATTGTGTCTACTCCATCCCAAAATACCTGGGCCATTCTAGTCTGGCCCCGATTGCAAAAGTATTTGCTTTGGAAGGGATGGTCGGTAGGTTGTTTGGAAGTTTGATTCCTTTCTACAGTGACTGAGGTCGATTTTGGTAGCAATTTTGAGTCAAATAGGGAAAGAAATAAGAATTCTTCGGAATTATTATGGTCTAAAGAAAGAAAAGATTAACGAGACATAGAAGAAATTTAGAATTTTGATTGAGGCAAATTTAATGAGTTTTTGGTTTTGTATAGCTTTATATTTGCCACAGCTGATTTATTCTTTATTTTCGGGTGGTTTATGGTGGTATGTGTGGGTAAAGTATTATTTATCAATGGAACTGAGTTGGGATCGTGCTAAGTTGCCTTGCTATTTTGATGATTTAGGCTCTTGATGATTGTTCTGTGTGAGCGCATAACTAGGTACATATTAATAGATAGTTTTCCTATTTTATGCTTCTGGCTTAATTATACTTTGTGATTTCTTGTTTCAATTTTTTTTCTCCAAATTTTTCCATCACCATTTTTTCCACCATTTTGATGTAGATATTTCATTTGCCCGAGTTGTTTTCCTGATAGGGACTTGAGGCTCATTGCTAGTAGTTTTGACTAGATTATGCTTGGTTTTTCTGATTATTTTATTAAAAATAGCAGTAAAAATGTATTATGGAAGCTTTTTTCATTCACCGATAGGCTTAGTTTATTTTGGGGTAAATTATTCGTAGAAGTCAATCGAGACGACTGTATGAGTATCTGTATTTGTTTATACGTTTTAAAATATATAAAATTAAAATTATTTTAATTAGTTTGGTGCTACAAATAAATGAGTATTTAATCAAATATTATAGCTAGCAAAAGCTGGTCCAGTTGATAAGAATTTGATTCGGATCAAGATTTTTTCCGTTTTGGTGCGGCGCAAATAGGATAGTACAGTAAAGCAAAATTTTTTATTTTCGCTTAAGTAGAAAATAAAATCAATGTACCAGGAGAGAATCCGAATTCAATTTGATTCATGTTCTACAAGAATGTAAATTTAAATCTTACTGCCTGTATGCCATAACCCACCTAAAATTTTTGTAAAAAAAATAAATAATAATATATGAAATTTTGACAGATTTTGAAGAGGATAAACTTTAAAAGTGTTTTGAGAATGTAAGTCACCAAAATAGTTATTTCTTAAAATTTGTTATATTATATTTAAACATTTTAAAATTACTTTAGTTGTTTCAATAACATGATGTACATTCTGTAATTCTGTTATGTAATTGAATTGTTTAATTGTGCTTGAAGTTTGATTTAAAAATAATTAAATAATTTGTTTTGTACAGTTTATAATTAAGATATGAAGTAGTATTTTTATTTAACTCAATAGCAGTTAATGAATTCAGATGAGTATCGAAGTACTTGCAAAGTACTTAAACATAAAAAAATTTTAAAAAATAAATATCACAGTATCCCCACCCAAATGTGTGCAGGTACGATCCCTGCATAGAATCGTCATCGTAGGGAATAAGAAAAAGGTTTGATAGGCCTAAACTACGAAAAGCCTAAGACTTGTTCTAAATTAAATGCTAGTGCCAATTGGTCACGTTCTCGGATTATTAATAATTTTAAAATCAAAATAATTTATAAATAACTTTAATAGAAAAATTTAAATAAAATAATTTCCTAGAATTTGTTGTTTCTACTCTACGAAATATGAGATGTATTTTCAAAGCCAAAATCTCATGTTAGACGGGCTTCTGTGGCAAGGTGACAATTGATTGTTAAGAGAATTCCCAGGGGTGACAATTAGTAATTAAAATAAAAATGATATTTTTAGCAATAGAAAATATAATTAATCCATCCATATATATATATATATATATCTGAATATAATTCTTATGTTTTAGAAGACATATGTTAATAAGTTATAATCTTGAATTTGTTAACATATTTTTAAGAATGTAACATACAAAATCCCTCTAAAAAAATTAAATAAAAGTATATTAAAAATTGAGGATGTTAATATAGCCTCACCTGTCCTTTAGGAATATTCATAAATTACAAATTAAATTCGATAAAATACTCGTAAAAGTGTAACTTATTAATACAATTTAAAAAAAGAAGTAAATATGAGTGTATTATTAACCTTATATATATATATATATATATTTTTGGAAGTTCAAAATAACGTTTTGATTAAAGGTACATTTAAAGGATAAAAAGTATGACTAAGCATACACTAATTCATACTACAATAGAGATTTACAGTTCCAATAAAAGGGGGAAAAAAGAGAGATAGTAGTACTTTGATTAGTTTAATTGTGGGGGTTGGGGGAGATGGGACCCTCTTGCCTACCCCAAATGTAGCAATACCACTCTTGTTACCAAAGACAGTAAAAAAGGTACACGAGTATGTATCCATGGCCTCATCACCCATCTGAATCTTCAGCCACTCTGTGATGTCTAACTCAGAGACAGCGATGGCCTCACTCTTCCCCACTTCTCCATCTCCTTCTTCACTTCGACAAACACCTTCAACCAACGCTAAATCCATTGAACATGTCTGGAACGACATTAAACTTTCCTCTCTCTCTAACTGCTCCTTAGACCTCAACCTCAACAATCCCACATCGCTTGCTGCTGATTCTTCTTTTCTTAAACGACATACTCCACCCACCTTTCTTTCCGCTCCTAACCCTTCCTTTGATGCTAATTGCGACCCCAATATCAACAAAATGGTTCAACGAGATATCTATGATAAACGACATAAACGCATGATCAAGAATCGAGAATCTGCAGTTCGCTCTAGAGCCAGAAAACAGGAAACTCTCTTTCTTCACTCTCTACTTAATTAATGCTAATAACTGAATTATTAAACCCCTTTTAATTTTTTCCCTCCTTTCTTAATTATTTTTTTTATAACTCCTAGAAATCAATTTGTGCAGGCTTATAGAAAAGAGTTGGAAATTAAAATTGCCCGTTTAACGGAAGAGAATTCCAGACTAAGAAAACAACTGGAAGAGGTCAGCTTCAGTTATTTTTAATGTTTACTTTGTAAGTTTGAACTGAACGGGAATTAATTAAGGAAAGCACTTCTTGATCCTTATTCAGTACTGAGAGTGAAAGAAAATGAAGAGTTTTTGTGGCGTTTGTTTTGTTACAGTTGCAGATTCGCGTGGCTATGCCTCCCAGAATGGGAACACTGTATAGAACCTCAACATCTCCATTTTGAGAAGGAAACATGGAACTCTTTTTCTTGTATGTTTTCACGTTCCAAAAGTTTGAGATAAGAAAGATAATGAGGCTTTCGGGTGTAAAGGGCATGCTAAAAAGTGAGTTTTGGTACTTTCTGTGATATTTCTTCGTCCTGCAGATTGCAGATCCTTGTAAGCACATTGCTGTTTGACCAGAATTAGGGTTGTTCCTACTTGTAAGTTGCAATTTTATTTTTTCTAATTGCTGTAGATTATTGGAAGCTACTTTCTAACGATGCTTAATGTATAATTAAAATACGTTTTCTTGGATTAAAGTAACATATTATAAGATAGTGAAGATGTATTAATTATTTGTACCACTAAATGATGTAAGTTACTTTCTTTAGATGCCTAAGAGTGTTTTGAATGTATTTATTAAAAAAGAATTACGGTTCAGTTTGTACTAATTTTTGTTTTTTTGGTAATTTAGATTGAAACGGTTATGTTAAAATTTATTTTTCTTAAGAAATGATATTTTTTAGTTAATAAAAAATTAAATTTTATTAATTAAGCTAATAATATAATCTTTTATATATATATATATATATATATATGTGTGTGTGTGTGTTCAGGTCAGGGTTTATTTGAAAATAAAATATAAAAATAATATAGATTAGTCATTTATAATTTAATTTAATTTTTAAATGAAAATTAAAAATTGAATTGAACTAAGTAAAAAATAAAATTAAGTTCTAGGTTTTTAAAATTTTTAATTAACATTTTGTTTTTTTTTTCATAATTAAGTTAGTTTGGAGGTTTAGAATGGTTTAGGATGATTCTTCAACACTCATTTATCTGTCTACAAGTAAAATAAAGCAAAATTACATAAGATCAAATAGAATAGTTTTAATATTTTATAATGGGTTCATTCTGCTACATTTCACTTCATTTTAAACAAATAATACAGAGAATCCAACTAATGATTTACACTGTTCCTTCAGTTGCATTCATATATTTATTTTCCTACTATCAGTCTCTGTCTCTCGACAAGCGCCAAGATATCAACATAAAGACAAAATTTGTGGTTGTATATTTTTTACATTTTTTAATAACAATTAGGAGAGAAATATATATAAATTAAGTGAAATAAAATGAAAAATTCGATTGAAAAGTATATTAAAAAATGTTACAAAAAGTGAAGTAATGCCCACACATATTTAAGGAAATAGTTTATGTATCTTTGTGGGATTGTCCTATATTTAACACGCTTAGTGGATTTCTTGGGGTCGCTATCACTTTCCTAGATTTTTCTCAACGTTAACTTTGATACTTAATTGGTTGTCGTCTTGCGAATTAGAAGATATCTCATTGGGATATTGCCTATGTACGTTTATAAAAATAGTTGGCAGATATTCTTTGGCTGTCTTCTAATTAGAAAGAAAAAAGAAATAAAAAGGATGTAATAGATAAGGTGAATGATGTGCTAAGATATGAAAAGATAAAAAGACATACCTTTAATTATTGTAAATATGATTAGTTTTTTTTTTATTTAACTTTTTACATTAATTTTAGTTTTTATAAATTTTAAATTGTTTTTATTATTGTTTATTGATAATGGGACACACATTTTAGATATATTATCTCGCTTATTAACACGAAAGGATTGTTTACATGACATCAATCACATCATAACATACATAACACCGCATATAATGGGATAATATGAATTATTTAAAAATAAATGTAGTCATATTTGTTGAGAATAAACACACATTCTATTGTTTGTTTTGAGGTTAAACTGAATTTATATTAATTTTAAATTAGTAAATATAATTAAAACGAAAACTTTTAGTGGTTTTAATAATAGTTTTTATGATGAACAATATGTCATGGTGGGAGAATTGATTTTAGAAATTTGTCAAAATGGGTTTAAAAAGAATCGTGTATATTTAAAAGTTTACTATAACATTACAATTTTTGTACTGGTCGTTTTATTTATATAAAAAAATCTAATAGAATAAATAAAAATAGAAGTGTTATTATGAAATTATGAATAAATTTGATGTAAGTAAAGATAGTAACTAAAACAATAGTATTTATAATTTGTTTTCGTCCTGCAGTATGGGTTTGACTGGTGTGGTTGAATCTAAACCACAAACAGAAAAGGTAATGCCGCCATGTTGGTTCATCCTTTTCCTGCTTCAGTCAATATTAATGAAGCAAGTTGGGAGCATTTTTGGTAATTCTGTAGTTGGGTTTCCATTTGCCGAGATGGACAAGTATTGTCTTACTCTATTGTGTAGTCGCCCTTAGGGTGCCATTTTCTGGTATGTAGTTGAGCAAAGATTCTCTGTAGCCACATTCTGTCACTTTTACCAAAATCTTAAAAGAAGGAAACAGCGTGCTGTGCAGACACACTTGCTCCTTTTCTGGTAGCCTTCTCTCACCCCTCTCATCACCACTTAAATTTGCTTATACTTCAATATTATCGGTTAAGATTTTTATATTAGATCTATAAATTATAATTTTAAAGATGTTTTTAAATTACAGTATTTATTTAAAATGATTTATCAAATTAATATAATTTTAAAAATATATTACCAAATTATGGGAATGCAATGTGACGCCTGTTCTGTATATCTGAGTGATGTCATTGGATATATATAACACCTACAAAATTTTGCGTAATTTTAATTGTCGCTTATATGATATTTATATATTTAAATAATACGATGTTGTTTCTATATGTTGACTTTGTGTTATAATAATATTATACGTATTATAGTAGTGTAGTATATTTGAACACAGTACTATATTTAAAACTTGAAGTTTCATTCTAATATGAAGTAGTTATTTTTAGTGTATAACAATAGTGTTTTAAGAAATCATTGTCTTTAATTAATGATAGGGTGACTTTTCAAGAAAGTATTTTTTCAAATGATAAAATTTATTTTTAATTAACTATTTTCAAATGACAAAATTTTTCGCTTACTTATCAATGAAAATGTTTAACAAAATTGGCAAATAAAAATAATTGCACATTAAAAAACTAGTTAAAAGTAAAAAAAAAATTAAAAATTTACAAGTTAACTTGTTAAATTAAAAGTATTTAGAAAAATTATTATTAAATTAATTGTTAAATATGAAATGATATAAAAGACATACTTAATAACTTAGTCACCATATGATTTTTAATTATATATTTCTCAAATAATTATACCTTTTTATTTTATTCTCTTTTAAATTTATTACGAAATAAAACAAAATAATATTATAATTTTGGTAATTTAATATGTTAGAAAAATGATGTAGAAATTAAACATAAAGTATTTAATATTAAAAAATTATAAATCTTGAACAAAAGAACTAATGAGGGTTAATCTCATTAAGATAGAACAATATTTAAGGAGAGCTTGAAATTTACTGTGAATGCGAAGACTTGGTTAATAATTTACAGATGAAGATGAAGGAAGCGCCCATCTTGTCCTGCGATTAATGAGGTGGACCTGTTTGTCAACCCCAAAGCTGGTGAGACTAATGCGATCCAAACACAGTAATGGCATAGTCACCCCATGGCATCATCAGCAGGTAACAGTAATCGCAAGATCCATGTCCCAAATTCACCGTCATCCATTCCCCAAACCCAAACACAAACACAAACACAAACACCCTTTCGCAACCTCATCCTTCACCAGTTCTTGCCCCTATCCACTGCCTCTGCCTCTAATCCCACATCGCCCTCTCAACCCACTTTCACTTCTAACTCTCTCTCTCATCACTCTTTTTTGAAATCTTCCACCATGTGTCACTCCGAAAGGGAAACCTGCGACTCCTCTGATTCTGAACAAAGGTTTAAGCGCCTCATTAGGAACCGAGAATCTGGTGCTCGCTCCAGAGCCAGAAAACAGGAAACTCATCTCTTTCTCAATTTCTTCATATTCTCAACTCTCAGAAAAAAAATCCCTTCTCTCTCTCTCTCTCATTTTTTCAATTTTTAACGCCGACAACAACATTTTCTGCAGGCTTATAAAGACGAGTTGGAAACTAAACTTGCCCTTTTAATCGAAGAGAATTCCAGACTCAGAAAACAAATAGAAGAGGTCAGTCATTTATTTCTCTTTATAATTTTTTTTATGGGATCTTAATCAGTTTTATTGTTGAGGATCCAAGCACCAACCTTTTATGTTTTTTTTGGTTCAATTTTCATGTTATTGCAAATTGAACAGGATTAATTATGGATTCCTTAGTGCTTGCTCAGTACTCAGTGGAAGTAAATGTAAAGAATAATTCTTACAAATTCTCTTATTTATTAAATAAAAAATAAATATATTTTAGATTTTAAAGATATTAAATACATTAACTTTCATTTAATATTTAGTTAAGATAAGAGGATATAACATTACTCAATTGTGAATAGTTTCTGCGGCTTTAATTTCTGGGTTAATTTTGTTACAGTTGCAGTTGCGGCTGATGTCCCCGGGTAGTTCTAATGCTAAACCTTCCAAAATGCGCACTCTGTGTAGAACCTTAACATCTCCATTTTGAGAAGGAAGCAGAAGCACCACTTGCAACCTGCAAAAGGGGTAAAAGAATTGGTCTTGGTACTCTCTATAACAAGGGCCTTTCCCTGTGTTTTCTGTAAAGAGGGTATAGTGTTTGTCTGTGTCCTATCAGGGCTAATACCACGCGTTTCTATTTCCTTTTCACAATTTATTTTCTCCCTTTTATGGAAAGACAATCCAATCCTCCAATCTCCCATTTTTCTTCATATTACCCTCAGTTAAAAGACAATGCTTCAAAAATTGAATGGGCAGTTAAATTAGTTTAATCATAAGTTGGATTTGTTTTCTTTTATTTATTCAGTTTAATTGTAACTTGATTATAAATTCAATCACTCGAACGTATTAGAGTATGCTTTAGAAATTTTTAATTTGCTTTTTAAGGCACTTCTATCATATCGCATTTGCCATTTGATAAGATGAATTAAAGTAAAACACAATTAATTTGATATTATTATATAAAGTAAATTTTTTATAAGCTAGTATCGGATCACGTGTTATCTCTATAATTACAACAACGCTTATGGTGTCCACTAGGGTACCATTATTTCTTTTTATTATACGTATAATATTTATTAGATGACTAGTTGAAACTGGTTTTGTTTCCATTTGTAGCCCAACTCAAGCAAGCATTCCCCTTCCCACTCTCTCCCCAGGCTCCGTTTTTAATCGGCACCCATTTTCTCTTTGCCATTGAATTTGTGGATTGAAGGCAAAATTCTCCCATTGACCAAAAAGAAAAAGGAAAAATTCTTCGTCAACAACACCTGAAACAATCGAAAGAATCTTACCACTTTGATTGGCCACCTTGCTTCCATTCCCAGAGACTTCATGGGTCACTTCTCGTTTATGCAGTTTCATGTGCATTTGGTCTTTCATCAAAATCGACCAATCCCAGATTTCCTATTTGAAGGTCAATAGTTTAAAAACTTTTAAAGCCACTTTGGAAACTCTCCATTGAAATAAATATGTAAATAATCACTAAACCAAAATAAATTGAATGGCATATACAAAACATGAATACGGAAATAGAAAGAGATATTGAACACAATTTACAACTATACAGAAAAAGAACCTCACATCACGTGTCCGAAAGTTGAGTACCCGAAGACTAATGAACACGAGTTTTTATATATTGAGCACCGACAAGACGGGAAAAAAAAATCATTTCAAAGGAAAAATTTTGAAGCTAAATTCCAAACACGGGTTTGACAGTTGAGTACCCGAAGACTAATCAAACGAGAAATGAGATATATGGAAAGCAATAAATTTGGAATGCTTTTGATATATGGCACTATGTTGCTTGCAGTGACAAAAATTAATTGACTTATAAGATAAATTGAACTTTAACCTCCCATGATATAATGAAACTGAACTTATTTTTTAATTATTTTATAATTAAACTCTTGTATTTTGTAAACCTAAATCCTCATTCTCTTTGTTTTCTTTTAATTCTCTACTTTTTAAATCGATTTTGACTAAAAAGTTGGATTAAAATTAATTTTAGTTAAAATATAAATAAACTTAAAACTAATTTTAAACTGAATTGATCACAACCAAACTAGTTTTAGAAAAAGAAAAGTAAAGTAATTTTGAAATTCAATCCAAATTGAACCCAAACTCCACTTGCCTTTTCTACCATCGGTCATGATCATTTAGCAAATGAGCAACATTTACTATAATCTTCAAATAAAAACTCCTACATTAAGTTTCAATTTGACACACCTTGCATGCATATCACAAGGGTGTCTCTAGAAATAGTGGCGCACTCCAATTTGGAAACATGCATCCAATTCCATCACCAGAAAACTTGAGATTTGAAAAACCAAATTAACACATTCCTCCGTGTGAATTAACATGGCTCGATGATAAGATAATCAATTTTCCACAAATGACTAACTTCATGGCGTTCAATCCTTCAGCCACATGATTAATTTCCAGTTTTATTATAATTTTTTGCCCCGTCAGAACCCACTTACGTATATAATATATCCATTCTGGTACACACCCACAGACACAAAATGATATCAATTAGCAAAGGTCAAATGTGTGGTGCCACTTATAATTGTAAATCACTCTACCAGTAATTTACTTTTAATAATCGAATTATTATGATTGGCAAGGATAGTGAAACTTTCTAACTCAGTTGATCGCTGGGTGTTTTTGTTATGGTGTTTTATAAAGACTCCTATTAAGTAGCAAATTAGAATAATATGCCAAGGCATGCAACCAAGAGGTATTTTGTCCTCTCTTCTTTTAAATGACTGCTGTTGATAATATATATAGCCAAGACATTATATGTTAAACGTTGATAACACATTTTTTTAAATATATTTTTAATGTATTTTTTGGAATTGCTAAATTTTTTAAAATGTAAAAATAATTTTAAAAAGTGACTAATAATGTATGAGATAAATTATTTAATTTTAAAAAAAACCGATGAATCGTAAAAATAATATTGAATAATATATTTTTAAAAGTATGGCATTAACAATATTTTGAGTCACTGAGTGGTTGCTACATGGCTATACCTTTTAGTGGCGCACTTGACCTGGATCGAGTGCTTGACGTACGTACAGTGCGCATAATTAAGGAATAAGCATGCAATAATTCCACCAAGACAGAATGTAGCTTTCTTTTATTAAAACCATAATCTACTGCTGGCACAAATAAGTTTATATATGCATATATGAAGGTGCTACCGAACATGCTCCTCCATTAGCTTGTGCAATATAAGGAGGTTAACAAATTGAGCACCTACGAAGTGCAAGAAAATACGATCGAACATGAAAGACAATTCTGTTTTCTTGTTATTATTCTGCATTATCTTGCTGTTTCTAGGAGAAGGGAATGGAAGTAACGATGACACTAAACGGGGCGTTTATATCGTGTATATGGGAGCCGCGGCTTCAACAAATGTTTCACTTCGTAGTGACCATGCTTATGTTCTGAATTCAGTGCTAAGAAGGTACATTAATTACATAAAGTGTACGAACATCAATTAATTGACTTGATACGTTACTTAAGCAATATTTAAAACGAATTACGTACCAATATTGAGATGAGAAAATTTTGTTGAAAGGAATGAGAAGGCTTTAGTACGCACCTACAGACATGGTTTCTCGGGGTTCGCAGCGCGTTTATCAGAAGATGAGGCAAACTCAATTGCTCAGAAACCTGGTGTTGTGTCTGTCTTCCCCGACCCCATTCTGAAGCTCCACACAACACATTCCTGGGATTTCCTCAAGAACCAATTTCCAGTCAAAATTGACGACCCAAACACGGTCTCCAATTCTTCTTCCTCATCAGACATCGTCATTGGCGTCTTAGACACAGGTTATCAACATTCAAATTTGGGATTGAAATCACCCTCTCTTTTTTTTCATTTCTTATCTCTTTCTTCTTTTATACAAAATATGTATGTATATTAAAATCGACTGATATTAAATGTTAAATTTAATAAAACAATAACATTATTAATTTTTTATATAAAAGTGAGTTTTATTAATATAATAATTTTATAAAATAATTATAAAGGTTATGCATATAAAATTTTACAAAATTTAAATATTTGTAAATATATAATTTAATTGTAATTATTTATTTATATTTAAAATAATATATTATTTTTTAAAATATAATAAATTGACAAAATATCAATTAATAAGTACATAAATTATATAAAACTTTTACTATACCTTTTATAATTTATTAATTTTTAATGTTATTTCATGGCATCATTCATTTTATTATTTACTTTTTTTTATTTATCTTTAATTAATAAAAAAAACAAATTTATTTTACAGTTATAATTTCTCACTAACGAATGAATACAAAAGCGGAATTCAGGTATATGGCCGGAGGCGGCAAGTTTTGCCGACGAGGGTATGGGTCCTGTTCCTTCCCGTTGGAAAGGCACCTGCATGAAATCACACGACTTCAATTCATCTAACTGTAACAGGTGAAAAGCCCAGTACACAACCCTACCAATATCAAACAACTTTTTTTTTTCTTCATATTTATTTTACATTTTTAAAAAAACTCCAAGTTCTTTTTTCTTTAATTTAATCTAACATAATTAAATAATCATTATTAATAAGAAAAACATTTATAATCCTTTTTAAAAATACTATATAATGCGCCTTTAATTTTTTATTTAAAAATGTTTAAATTTAAAAAATTGAATAGTGAACTTATAACTTCTAATTTGGTGATTGTATTGATTTGGATCAGGAAGTTAATCGGAGCAAGGTATTACCCAGACCCTGATAAGGACGAAGAGTATGACACACCAAGGGACATAGAAGGGCATGGGACCCACGTGGCGTCGACGGCGGCGGGAGTGGCCGTGAGTGGTGCGTCTTACTATGGTGTTGCGGCGGGGACCGCCAAGGGTGGGTTACCGGAATCAAGATTGGCGATTTACAAAGTGTGCTTTAAATATGATTGCCCTGGCTCCGCAGTTCTTGCGGCGTTTGACGATGCCATTGCGGATGGAGTGGACGTGTTATCGGTCTCGCTGGGTCCCATCTATGTGTTTAGGTCCGAGTTGAAATCCGACCCAATTGCCATCGGAGCCTTCCATGCCGTGGAGCGTGGCATCGTCGTGGTTTGCTCCGCCGGGAACGATGGACCAAGTTCAAACACCGTTGTCAACGATGCGCCTTGGATTTTAACCGTCGGAGCCACCACCATTGACCGGGATTTTCAGTCCAACGTTGTCTTGGGTGGTAACAAAGTGATCAAGGTATATCACTAGCTACATGTTGATTCCATTTTCTCTTAATAATTCATCACTTTTTCATGTTATTGTATTAAATAGTAATTCTGTTCATTTATCTTTAGAATGAATAAGTAAAAGTATTTTTATTGTTGACTTAGTTTGAAATATTTCAATTCTGAACTTAAAAATACAACAATATTTATGCAGACATCAATATAATTTCCGTAAATTAATTATAAAATGAATAAATAGAAAGCTACGAGTGATATATCATTAGGCTAATTTTATAACTTGTTAAGAATTTCAAATTTTTATTAAAATAATTAAATAATGATCAAATATAATAAAATATATTCTCAATACTTTTTCCATTTATTTTTATATTTTTTATCACCTTAAAAAATATGTTAAATTATATTTAAAAATATATAGAAAAAATTATAAAAGAACTTATACAAATAGTTTGGTGTTTTTAAACTTTTTTCAATTTATTTTCATAAGTTTTTTTTCTCATTTTTTAAACTTATTCTAATAAATTATATGATCAAATTTATATTATTAACTGTTATAAAGTAAAAATTTATTGAATAAGTGTTTACTTAAGCTATTTATTTTAATGTAACTTAATTATGATCAGCATTTCAAGTTTAATGTTAATATTATCATTTGATATCGATAATAATAATAATAGTAAATAAATGCTAATTTTTAGAACTAATCTTTCTTAATATTATGATATTTATAGTTACAATGTATGGGATAAAACGCTAAATTTTGAATTATAATCTGAAGGTTATGTTACCAAAAAGAAATCATGAGTAAATAATTTGTTTTAAATTGGTAAGATACAATAGATGCTAGCGGTGCTAATAAATGGGGAAACTAATGAACTTCAGGGCGAAGGCATAAATTTGTCCCCCCTCTCAAACTCTCCCAAGTATCCATTGATATATAGTGAGTCGGCCAAGGCAAGTGGCGCCACCTTAGATGAAGCAAGGTACGTGCGCAAAATTTTTAGTAAGCTTGGGGATCAACATATCGTTAGTCCAAAGACCCAAAATTTTTAATTAAGAAAGGAATAACAAACATAAAGTGGATCAATTATGAAATGCAGGCAATGCTTCCCAGATTCCTTAGATGAACATAAAGTGAAAGGGAAGATTGTAATTTGCGATGGCAGAGATCATTCATATGATACTGGTTTAAAAGTTAAAGCTGTGAAACAAGCAGGAGGATTTGGTTTGGCTCATAGTACTGATCCAAAAGGAGCAGAAGCATCAATTTATGGGGGCTACCCTGCAACAGAGATAAGTTACAAAGATGCTGCCACAATGCTTCAGTATGTCAATTCAACCAGGTAAGGAACCGGAAGGAATGAGTGTGTGTTTGAATTAGTTATAATTAAAAGGTTGATTATTTTAATAACAAATTATCATTATAATTGATTGTATAAATAAATTTCTGTTTGAATATGTTAGGTGGAAAATAACTTTAAAATAATTTGTTTTGTTTGAATTGTATAGACTGATTGTTCTTTCTATATTAAAATTGTGAAAAACGAATACAAAGTTATCAGAATTAGTTGATTTTGCTTTTAAAATCATTAATTGTTGAAAATAAAATAAAAAATGAAAATTTACTACAAAAATAAGTTAATAGTTTTAATCATAAGATTTAATATTTTGCTTATTTAAATATATTGATACATTTGTAAGAACAATAATCAAAGACTTAAGATGACTTTCGAACAAAATATCAATCAACATTAGTCTTGAATGGTTTTTCTTTTTCATATATTGAAAAAAAATATTCTAAACACATTCTAAGACTAACGATGTCGTACGTGCATAATTAACTTGAAGCAATCCAGTGGCAACAATTCTACCAACAGTTACAGTGATTGATTATAAGCCTGCACCCATGGTGGCATCCTTTTCATCAAGAGGACCTTCTACATTTTCACCGAATATTATCAAGGTATATAAGCATACAAACACGCACACACAGAGCGATTGATGGGATTATAAAACATGATAAATTATTCTCATTTCTCAATATTAAATAGAACTTGTTTTCTTTGTAGCCTGATATTGCTGCGCCAGGGGTTAACATTCTTGCAGCATGGATTGGTGGCAATGGCACACAAGACGTTCCAAAAGGAAGAAAGCCTTCCCATTTCAATATCCTCTCAGGGACTTCAATGTCATGCCCACACGTTGCAGGGATTGCAGGCAGCATCAAATCTCAGAACCCCACTTGGAGTGCCTCTGCAATCAGATCAGCAATCATGACCTCAGGTCAGGCTTTTTCTTTATAATAATGGTTCTTTTAACTAACACGTGAATGATGGCACATAATAAACAATCTAGGCAAATTAAGTTTTTATTCAAATTTTAATATATTAATAACATCAAATGTTACAATTTTTTAATTTCTTAACATGTAAGATATATACGTTAAAAAAAAATTATAATATATAGAAATTATTGTCCCTAGGAAATGTAATCCTAGATATGAATCCATGTGATCTAACAATTTATCAACTCCTCCTATCTTACTAAATGCAGCAACTCAAAGCAACAGCTTGAATGCTCCTATAACAACGGATTCTGGGTCAGTAGTCACACCCTATGACTATGGATCAGGGCAAGTAACAATATATCGACCATTGCAACCTGGGCTAGTTTATGAAACCAGCACCATGGACTACTTGAACTACTTGTGTTACGTTGGACTTAATACAACCATGGTCAAGATTATCTCCAGAACTGTCCCTAAAAGCTTCAATTGCCCCAAGGATTCGAGTTCTCGTTATATTTCCAACATCAACTACCCTTCCATAGCAATCTCCAACTTCACTGGGAAAGGTGTCGTGAACGTGAGTAGAACTGTAACAAACGTTGCTAAAGAGGAAGAAACAGTGTATTCCCCGGTTGTCGATGCTCCCAGTGAGGTAAATGTCAAGTTGATTCCAAATAAACTCCAATTTACGAAAAGTAGCAAAAAACTAAGCTACCAAATTATTTTTTCCTTGACTTCGACCACGCTGAAGAATGATCTATTTGGATCCATTACTTGGAGTAATGGTAAATACACTGTTCGAAGTCCTTTTGTATTAGCTAAGTAGTTGAATTAAAAGCAACTACGAATAAATGCAAGTTAAGTTCTGAATTAATGCTTAAATATTTCACTGATAGTAAAAAAGTGTGTTGAAAAAAATATGTTAGAATACTTTTAGCATTCCTCCAATAATGATCCGGCATTTTTCTTGAAGGAAAATTGATGAGAACTTCAACAATCGTAAAAGTGTATAGTTAGTATGTATAAAGAAAGGCACGAAGTCAGTTACCTAGCCTCACCGTCACCCTCAAACCTTAATATGAATATCCACACAAGTCTACCTTTGTACATTTAGTGTACCTTTGGTTTCGCACTTTTTATACTTCGAATGCCCGTTTATTTCCACGCTATATAAAGTATATAACATTAAAAAATTGGATCCATATTTATTAGTTTATTATGCATAATCAAATGCATACTTTATGATCTTGCGTAGTTTTCTTTTTTTTGGTCAAGTAGAAATGTTTAATTAATTACTGAGGTTTGGAACTTCAATTATAGTTGGATGGGTTTCAATGTTTGTCCTGTTTTAGTTAGTAGACCGTTTTCTTCATCATAGGAATATTGATGCAGAAGTAAAAAAGACGTGGAAACGTATTGGATGCTCGTTTGGACGGTGGTTATTTGGTCCATTTGGACCCATAAAATTATAATTATTTTAAAGAGCATATGGATTTAGCATAAGCCAAGGATTATATAAAAGTTAGGTATTACCCTTGGTTACCTTCAAACTTTGAGAAGTCATTTCTCTTTTCGCAGTGATATATTAATCGCTTACAATGCATGAAGTCTTACTGTACGTCATGAAGAGCTTGTAATTTGAATTATGAGTTGAAATATTTCTTGTATTTTTTAGTAAATAATTTTTTTTGTTGATAAAAAAAATTTTGAGAAGAAAAACTCTATTAATTTATCATCTCGAGAATTCAAGACCGTCTTTTAAAACTTTAAGTTATTATATTTTCATATTTTCTTTCATTCCTTTTTTTCTTTTCTTCTGATCTCTCTTTTCTCTATTAACTTCACACTAAAAAAAATTGAATGTCGAAGTATAATTTTCCTTCAAGTTTATTATGCTGCAGTTGCATCATTATCCTCTTCATTTGTAATGTATGTGTGGAGTGAATAAGTAAAGATGTATCTATCGTTCATTTAAATTAAAATATTTTATAATTTAATCAATTTTAAATTAACGATAAATATATATATTTTTAACTTCACACACTTATTCACATTAAATAAACCAATATATATATATCCTCGAGGGTTGAATTATAACGTTCGTCCAAAATAATTGACAGATCCTTAGCCATTGTAACTTTTACACAGTGTCAAAAACACTGCAGAAAAAAAAACACTGTTTCACTGCGATTTGCTTGATAATGATTTGGTTGCTGCAAAACTAAATATTAAAATGAAAAGAAACCTAGTATATTCAGTCGGACAATAAGTCAGTTCTCAGCATTTAAAACTTATGCAATTTTTAATTCGTGACTTGGTATATTTGGTCATTGATTAAGAAACTATTAAAGAATATTATTAATAAGTTTTATAGGCTGAAAACATCCCCTAAAAGTTGTAAACACTAACAGGTTGGGCTTAATTGATAAAATGGGCTACTTCATTTATTACTTCCACATGATTGGGCACTATCAGGATATAAAAGGGACTATGTATATTTAGACCCCCCCGCCCCAAAAAAAATAAAAGGAACTACGTATAATATTACTCGCGCGATCTTGCATGTACGTCAAGGTATCTTTTCGAAATGATTTCATGACAACAATCCAATATTCAAATCTTTATAAAGATTCTTAAAGCAGATCATAACATATAGAGAACCTAACGCTATATATCTCAGAAGTTATCTGTTTCTACATTCAGATTGATCAGTTAGATACGAGAAAGAATACACTTGTTCAGAAATTTAACTATATATATATAGTAGGATTTTAAACACCCAGCCATATTTTATTTTCATTTTCATACGATTATTGTATAGTCGCGACATAAACGTCCATGTTTTCAATTTCATTACACTATTATTATTATTATTATATACCAAATGCCTCATATCCCATAAGCCTCGTAAACAGATGTGCTCTCTTTCTCCTCACATGCCCTTTCATTGTCATCATTATTATGATAGAATTCTCTTAACAGTTGAAACATTGATACGCCAACGCCGTTGATATTTGATATTATACCCAACTAGAACATTTTGTTAATTCCCCATTATTAAATTAATTAATGTGGTACTCGACCAAAGGGGTCTATCCTTTGCGGCTGTGCAGAGCAATATTGCATCCATATCGCAAGATTATATGCGGGAATAGTGGCGCACTACAATGAGTCTGATGACTCACGCATATGGAGTCAGATAACAAAAAAAAAGGGGGGAATATGCATCCAACTCCATCACCTGCGATTTCAGAAACCAGACTGACACCTTCCTATGTATGGATAAAAATACCTTGCCCTAATAAGATAACTATTTCTCTACAACCGGCGAACTTAATGGCCTGTCATTCCTCAGCCACAAGATTAATTTCCAGTTTGATTATCGATTTAATTTGCACGTCAGAACGCACTCACTTTCTCTCTCTAGTGTATATATATATATACATATATTTAGGAATATTTGTGGGGATGATGTTTTCCTTGTGGCTCTTGGAATTAGGTTTTCTATTGTATCTGCTTTTGTAGGGTTTTTTGTAAGAATCAACAGCCTTTTTTTTAGGAGCATGTTTTTTCTTACTAGAGGGACAAGGTGGAAGACCAAACTGTTCCCAGAACGAACATTGATTTCTGGAGTTTCATCACTGTCAGAAGAAGAAGCTTGGTCATCATTTTGAATTTGGTTGAAGAATTGCAGAGTTCTCTTGAGGCACACGAAATTAGGTTGAATGAAAGGAGTTCTGAGAGAGCTGATTAAGTTTTGTTTGCTGCATCTACCAAGAAATTAAATATATATATATATATATATATATATATATATATATATATATATCATAAAGTTACTGTTAGATTGAAAATCTATATTACATAGATTATATTAAAATTACTTACACTGATCCACAAATATTTAGTGTTTAATTTATATACATTAAAAAATTAAAATAACATATACTCTAGAAATATAAATAAAAAGTTACAATCATTTAATTATTTTTCTATTATTCAATAAAAAAAATGCTAACAAGTATCCTTAATATCTGTTATTTAAAATTATTAACAAATGTTTTAAAGGCACTCCTTAATATCATTAATTGTGGATGTGTGTGTCATGAATATAGTTATTAAGTAATAAAGAAATTATTGAATAAAAAATATAACATCTAAATCGGTTCAAATATAGAAAACTTTCTTTTAAAATTTTAAAAACCTTATCATGTTATCTTAGCATTTGTCGTAACATAAAGATTCTGGCACAAACCCACGGACATGACATGATAGGAAAGGTCAAATGTGTATCATAATGCTGGTTATAATTGTTAATTACTATACCTCTAATATTTATTTATAAAAAAAATGGTAATTTTCCTACTGCCGAGTGCCGAGGATAGGGAAAATTTTTCGCTCAGCTAAATCGCGTGGCGTTGATTTTGTTTATAAATATATACTGCTACAGTGATCGAGCTAGATTTGTGGAGGCATATATTGCAATTTGCAAAGCTCTAACTGCCATATACTTTGTGTGTATAATCCTCACATGTCGCATTAAATGTTACTAACTCGTAGTTGCTACCTCCACTTGAAGCTATCGTATACATGGTGGTCAGCACCAACTACAAAATTTTCCTATATCTATCTTCAAATGGCGCACTATGCGTGGATTCAGTGCTTGACGCGTATTTGCAGTGCGCACAAGGAATAAGCATGCAATAATTCCACCAAGGTAGATTATAGCTTTTTTTTAACCGTAAATCATAATCGCTTCTGAGAGCACACAATTAAGCACCGAACTAGCCCGATTGCTATATATATAACAATATTCGCGGGTTCTGCCAAGCACACTAAGTGAAACAAAGTGTGTTAAGAGAATACGAACTATCATGAAAGGGAAATCACTTCTATTGCATTTGTTCTACACTCTCTTGCTGTTTCTTGGAGCGTTTAGGTTATCATCAGCAGGGAATGATAGTATTAATGATGACACTGATAGTAAAGGAGTTTATATCGTGTATATGGGAGCCTCGGATTCAACAAATGCTTCTATTCGGAATGACCATGCACAGGTTCTGAACTCAGTGATAAAACGGTAACCAACCACTTATACATTGTGTGGAGTTTGATATGTTACTTATATCAATTATATATATTGAGATGAGATTTTTTTTTTTTGAATGAAGGAATGAAAGGGCTCTGGTACGAAACTACGAACATGGTTTCTCAGGGTTCGCAGCTCGTTTATCTAAAGAGGAGGCAAATTCCATTGCTCAGAAACCTGGTGTCGTGTCTGTCTTCCCTGACCCCGTTTTGAAGCTCCACACAACACATTCATGGGATTTCCTTAAATACCAAACTCACGTCAAAATAGACACCAACCCGAACACGGTCTCCAATTCCTCTTCCTCGTCAGACACCGTCATTGGCATCTTAGACACGGGTAATCTAGAAATATTAAAAATATAAATGTTTTATTAATATTTTTAGTGATCTCAACGAGATTTTTTAATAAAACAAATTATAATTTATTATTTATTTATTATTGATTATTGATATAATATTTCCCACATAATTACTAACCATTCTATCCTCATCGTGAATTGATGATGCATATTGAATTCAGGTATATGGCCTGAGGCGGCGAGTTTTAAGGACGAGGGCATGGGTTCTATTCCATCCCGATGGAAAGGTACCTGCATGAAATCACAAGACTTCAATTCATCAAATTGCAACAGGTAAAAGGTCACAGCCCCACCAAACAGGGAAAGGAAAAAGAAAAATTCACATATTCACTACACACATGACACAACCACCTTAATTACTTGATGAATTCTTGTTTACATTATTAAGATTTTAGATCCTAATCATATATAATGAGTGGGTCCCTCTAGAGTAACGGTTAGCATCATTTTCAATTTTTGATTAGGAAGCTAATCGGCGCAAGGTATTACGCTGATCCCGATGGGGACGAAGATGGGTCCGACAACACAGTGAGGGATTCGATTGGGCATGGGACCCACGTGGCGTCCACGGCGGCGGGAGTCACCGTCACTAACGCATCCTACTACGGTCTCGCGGCGGGGACCGCCTCCGGTGGGTCACCGGAAACTAGGTTGGCAGTTTACAGAGTGTGTTCGAACTCAGGGTGTCGCGGCTCGGCGATTCTTGCGGCGTTTGATGATGCCATAGCGGATGGGGTGGATGTGTTGTCGCTATCGCTGGGTTCGCCCTCTGTGTTTCGACCCGATTTGACATCCGACCCGATTGCGATCGGAGCGTTCCACGCGGTGGAGCGTGGCATCGTGGTGGTGTGCTCCGCAGGGAATGATGGACCGAGCTCGTCCACGGTTGTGAACGACGCGCCTTGGATTTTAACCGTTGCAGCCTCCACCATCGACCGGGATTTTCAGTCCAACGTTGTCTTGGGTGGCAACAAAGTGATCACGGTATATATTTGAGTGTAGATTCCCTCCAACTTTTTTTTTAAATAATAAATTCCTGAACAATCATAATTTTTGTTTTAAAAATGTTAAAATAAACCGTTAGTATTCATTTTATGTAATTAAAAGTAATTAAATTTCAAGTAAAAAAATATCAAATATAATTTTGTTTATATTTTTAATGTAATAAGTTTTGTTCTTTAATAAAAATATTTTTCAAGTATATAAAATTAATTTAAGAATGATATTAATAAAAATTCAATTTAAAATTCTTTAAAACTTATAGATAAAGACATTGTTACTAAGTTTAATCTTTTTTATTTTTCAGGTATAGTATAATACAAAATAAAAATATTAATTAAATGAAATAAACAAATTAATTTACCTAAATTTAATTTGTTAATAAAGTAGCTACATGGCTAAGTGTTTAACAATCATTTTTTATTTAATAATTATTACTTCTTCTCATTTTTTTTAAAAATAATTGACATTTTGTATTATAGTAATATTAAACATCAATATCTATATGAATGAAAAAGAAATAATATAAGTTAATTCTCATAAAGAACTGGTGACTATCGCCACTGTAACAACTATGGCTTTTCTAAGAAAGCAATGTTTCATCTTTCAAACATCTCGTGTGGGCCCAAAGGAAGAATATTCTTTCGTTCAGGTTTCCAATCTTTCAAACATCTAAGAAAGCAATGTACTTTTTTGTTTGTTTTTGAATTGAATAAGAAAGCATACGATAAAATATTTTATTTTAAGATTTTCCTATTATGCTAATATTTTACTATCATTTTGCAAAATTAATAGACAATTGTTTTTTTATCCTTTTTAAATAATGTGCGTTTAATTGAAGAATATGTATTTATAAAAATAATATAATGAATAAGGGGTATAATAAAGAAAATAAATAATTATTATTATTTATAATGATTAAAATATCAAATTTGTACAAGACCTTAATGCAAACAAGGGGGGGGGGGGATTAGGTGTTTTTGACTACTTTAAAATATTAGACATCTTTTATATTTTGGTCACGGTTTGCTACTTTTATTTTCTTGTTTTCATTTTAAGTTGGTAAAGTTCAACTAATGTCATCATTGATAATTATTAAACTCCAGGGCAGAGCCATAAATTTCTCTCCTCTTTCACATTCACCGGAGTATCCACTAATATACGGTGAATCTGCCAAGACAAGTAGCACTGACTTAGCTGAAGCAAGGTATGTATGCAAAATCTATTAGCTATGAAAATAACTTGTCAATAAATCAGAAGCTGAAAAACCTCAAGGATTTGGAACTGGGCTACTTAAAATCATTAAAAATATTTCAAATGTAAATTCAATGCAGCAAGTATAACTAATAGCATTGAAAGAAATGTAATTTATAGTTATTCAGACATAAATTCAAAATCTTGTAAGGAATAACAAACGTGTCATCAGTAATTTGTCAAAACTCGAAAGCTCTCAACAAAACAAATCTGTTTGTCAAATGCAGACAATGCCACCCAGATTCATTAGAAGGAAATAAAGTCAAAGGGAAGATTGTCGTCTGTGATGGCAAAGATGATGGATACTCAACCAGTGAAAAAATTAGCATAGTGAAACAGGTGGGAGGAATAGGTGTAGTTCATATTACTGAGCAAAATGGAGCAGTAGCATCCAATTTTGGGGACTTTCCAGCAACAGAGATAAGTTCAAAAGATGCTGCTACAATCCTCCAGTATATAAATTCAACAAGGTAAGGATTGACGGATGTGTCAAAATTAGTACAAGTCAGCATTGTTCATCTTAGAATTCAATTTGAATCTTGTTGGAGACTAAAGATAAAGCAAAACATCAAAACAGCTGATCGAGTTAATTTAATTGTTTGTGCATATAATATAAAGCAATCCAATGGCAACAGTTCTACCAACAGTTTCAGTCCTTGATTACAAGCCTGCTCCTGTGGTGATATACTTTTCATCAAGAGGACCTTCAACGCTTTCAAAAAATGTTCTCAAGGTATGATAGAATTAGAAATCATGATAGATTATCCTTCATGCTTAAACACTAAACAGGACCTGTTTTCTTTGTAGCCTGATATTGCAGCACCGGGAGTTAACATTCTTGCAGCATGGATTGGAAATGACGCAGAAGATGTTCCAAAAGGGAAAAAACCTTCGCTTTACAACATAATCTCAGGTACCTCTATGGCTTGCCCACATGTTTCAGGGCTTGCAGGCAGTGTCAAATCTCAGAACCCCACTTGGAGTGCCTCTGCAATCAAATCTGCCATCATGACCTCAGGTTAGACATTTGATTGTAATAAAAAATCAGTTTTCTAAACATCACCCCTTGATAACGATTCAATTTTTATAATGTGTGGTCTATAACACATGATAAATTACTGCTGTGATATATTGAGATTTTTAATAAAAAAATTATTATACATGAATTTTGTTGTGTCTTTGAATAAACATTAAAAAAATTGATAATAATTTGAAGCAACGTGAATATTTTATTGAAAATAAAAATATTTGTTAAATAAAAAATATAGAAGTGTAATATATGTTCTTCTTCTCCTCAATAAATACCCTCTGTTTCAGTTGCTTAAAATTAGCCCACATTTCCCACAACAAATATAAGTCAACGTCTCTAGGTAATGTGATTTAGCAATGTATTAACTCCTATCTTTCTATGTGCAGCAATTCAAAACAACAACTTGAAGGCTTCCTTAACAACGGATTCAGGGTCATTAGCCACACCCTATGACTATGGAGCAGGGGAAATGACAACATCTGAACCACTGCAACCAGGGCTAGTTTATGAAACCAGCACCATTGACTACTTGAACTTCTTGTGTTACATTGGACTAAATATAACCACCGTTAAGGTCATCTCAAGAACTGTTCCTGATAGTTTCAGTTGTCCCAAGGATTTGAGTTCTGATCATATCTCCAACATCAACTATCCTTCCATAGCAATCTCAAACTTCTATGGGAAAGGACCCGTGAACGTGACTAGAACTGTTACAAACGTTGGTGAAGAAGATGAAACAATATACTCCTCCGTTGTCGATGCTCCCAGTGGTGTTCATGTCACGTTAACTCCAGATAAACTTCAATTTACAAAAAGTAGTAAAAAACTAAGCTACCAAGTCATTTTCTCCTCGACTTCGACCTCGTTGAAGGAAGATCTGTTTGGATCCATTACATGGACTAATGGTAAATATAATGTTCGAAGTCCTTTTGTGCTAACTAAATAGTGAAATTAAAAGTAACGATGAATAAATGCAAGCTTAGTTCTTCATGGTGCTTAACTCTCCAAGTCTTGATTATTTACTATTTATTTGCGTCTATTTTAATTTAATTAATTGTATCTTCAGCTTCTCAAATATTCTTCTTCCTAAACTTCAAATTCGTTCCGAAGTTGTTAACAAGCCTCTTGCCCCAGCTCAACCAAAAAGGAACGTGTTTCAATTACTAATTTAATGCCAGAGTTAGATGGAATTAACCTCAGTATTCTTTCTACCCCACTTGGTAAACCAACATCGATTTCATGCTTCATATGCAAACCCCTCAAAAGTAGTTGCAGAGTAAAAGATGGAATTTTAACAAAATTTGTACAAAGGACAGTAATTATGAGTGTTTAAAACCCAAGCAAAAGTTATTAAGAAAAATCAAAATCCGATCAAACTGAAAAAATTAAAAAAACAAACTGCAAAATGTCAGTTTGGTTCAATTTTGACATTAAATTCAAATCGAACAGCATATTATCAATTTAAATGATTTTTTTATTAAAAATCAAATCAAACTGACTTACGAACACCTCTAACAGTAATCTCATAAAATTAGGAAGATATGCTATTGTATTTGTTATCGGTTTGCCCGAAATTAATCAAGTCAGAAAACATTCTAGCCATCCGGAATGCATTCAGGAGTGGAAACCAAGCATGTTTTAGACCAAACAGAACTATATAACAAAGAATGATTAGTCATATACACGTGGTGTGAAAAATGTTGAGAGCCTGAACAAACTGGAAGTACATAGCAATCAGCAGCATAAGCATCACAGGGACCAATTAGAGCGAAGCATCAAAGCAGCAATTTTAGAATTCCCATCCACTGCCAATGCAAAACCTGGCTTCAAACAAAATTTGTTACCCATGTTAAATTTTAGATAGGATTCACCCTGAAGATGACACCCATTTGCTGAATCTCCATTTATCCCACTGAAACTCAATCCCCAGCCAAATGAATCTTCGGAAATGTCAGACACAGTTACAGCCCATTGTACAGATTTGGGATTTGATTTGTTCATCTCAACCCAACCTCCAATTTTTGTAAAGCCATCAAGTTCAGACTCCACCATCACTGCAATAGACCCAGTTGAGACCAGGGTTCCTAATGCTTCAGGAGCTGCCTCGGAGGGTTCACGTTGCTTGGACAAGACTATTGGAATTGTGAAAGAACCAAAATTTCTAAGTTGCCTTGATGACAAAGGCAGATGGTAAACATCCAGAACAGACAATTTTGTTCCTCCAGGAAACTGACACATGAGTTGACCGAAAGTGCTGGATCTATTCTCCATCGTATTAGAACCGGACGGCATTCCTAGTCCAGCGACCAATTGAGCCAATGAAGCAATTACATTTGAATGTCTCACAGTTATGCCAATAGCGCTACCATAGTGCAGATTCAGAAGAGGTGGTCCAAAAGAGGAAAAGTCTGTAAGGCCCTTTCCCAGCTAAACGGGCATAACACCATGTCAGCATATCAATGGCGTAATTAATTAGCAAAGGGTACGGTAAAAAAGGGAACAGCAGACTAATAGATGACATTTTAGCATAAACATTTTTTCACGATGTCTCAACCAGCCAAACAATATGGTCCTTGCAGTTTTAAAACCTAAGCTGGTTTTAAAAGCACTAGATTTTTAACTAAGCAATATACTGTCCATTTAAACCTTAAAGCTAAGAAACTCGCGAATCCAGATAACTTGATACTAGATAAACACATCACTTGACCTGTTAATGAAATCCATATTCTTGGGACAAGCCACATTCACAACTAGCATGGGGTTTCAACACATTCCAAGTTCCAATACATTTTACTTAAACACGACAGAGAATAACAGATTACTAAATGGTTGAACCTACACTCTCTAAATCCTAGTTGGCACAAATTCTAACAGTGACCATAGACAATTAAACAGTGCCTACCTGGTGAAAAGAATTAGAAGCAATTGCAACATCTCTGCACTGGGCTCCGATTGGGATAGCCATGAGAGAGAACCACTCATTGAGATTTGCCGTGTAGCTGAGTTTGGCCAGAGAAAGTGGCATTTGATCAACATGTTCCTTCTTCCCTTTCTGAGTGGATACAAACTCTGCTGCAAGATTATCGTTTTTCCCAATAGTTGTTTCAAAAACGAGCCTGGAATCAACACCAGTTCTAATTCCGGACCTATTCACAGCATCTAAGTTATGCTGATTAAGGTTATCCAAAACCAAGAAAGCACCCAAGAAATCCACGTGTCCTCTCACGTGAGTGGTAACTTCACGGAAGGGACCGTCTTTGGAGGATTGGTAGAAAGAAAGTATTTGCTCAACCTTTTCTTGCCGGTCTCTGAGTTTCATAAGATCGGAGAAAGATTCCCTTTGCAAGCGTTTAAGGATTTCAATCTGAAATTACGATAAGGCATCATAAAGAAAGAGTAAAGAAGTATGTTGCAGTTGTGTTATGCAAAAGAAGGGAGAAAGAGACAGCGAATACCGGATTGCGACGGTGAAGAAGACCGTCGAAAAAGTCTTGGCCAGATTTGGCGAAGGATTTGAGTCGGTCCAACACTGCACCTACAGACTCCATTGTTACCTAAGTTGTTCTTGGTTGTGTAGGACATGGAGGTGAAGATGGAGATGGAGGGAGGTTTTGTTCAGTTCTTGGGGGGTTTTATCCACACTCTTTCTTGCTTCTTACACACTTCTCAAGTGGTCAAAAGGCTTTCTGTCTGTCTTTTAAATCTTGCTCGGGCTTCTACCAAAATAAGCCCGTTTTATTAAGCCTTCCATTTGGTTCTTTACTTGTTCTTGTTATGGGCTTTTGTAGACCCAAAACCCGAAAACAAGGCAAGTTTCAAGATGTGAATGTTAACTTTTTCATCAAAAAATGGAAAATCTTTCAATTTGCCCAAACATGCCCTTGTCAAGGCAGGCTACTTTCAGTGTTAATAAAGATTGGTAAATGTTATCGGAAACTAATCAATTGACATTTAATTTATTGATGTATTTTCTTTTTTTATTTAATACTATTTTACAAAGTTATATACATAAAAAAAGTAGAAAGATTTAAATTTATTTTAAATGAATTAATTTTTTAAAATATTAACTGATCTTCATTAGCATTATCTAATGAATCACAAAATAAACCAGTATAAGTTATTAGATCCAATATATACAAATGCAATTTGGTTAAAAAGAAGTTAGAGAGAGAATCAAGTGAAGAGGATCCATTTCTCTTTTAATATGAAACAATCAATAGTTGAGCGAATTTTGTATATTGTAAACCACATCTTCTATCTACTACCATAGTCATAGTGTATTTCACCTGACGATCATTCCTTTTCCTTCCCTCTTCTAGGCAAATTCATAAGGTCTCAATGCTGACCACATAAACATTAAAAGGTTCTCATCACTTATCACAAACAAAACAAAATATCTCCATTCAAATTCCAAAGATTCGATTTTTATTTTTTTAAGAAAGGGAAAAATTGGCATGGAAACAAAGATAATGAATAAATATCTCCATCCAATCATATCATTTTTCCCCCTCAACTTGGGGACAGTCGAGGTGAATTCACAGAAAGTTTAATCAAAGGCAATGAACTTGAATTCAGTGGGATCTTGTCTCAGGAGAAGCTGTTTATATATCTGTTGATGATTTCACTAACAAGAATCTGATACGTCCTCTCTGTGGGATGGTAGCTGTCCCAGAAAACATATGCAGAATCGTTTGTGCAGGTTTGTGGATCTAACTCATTACACATATAAGACACCTCTAAAGTCCCTGTGCCGCAGCATCCCCTATCAGCTACGTCAAATCCTGAAATTCAATTAAGAGATCCACTTGAGAAAGGGGAAATTAAAATAAAAAATGTAAGTAATTTATAAATTGTACGAGTTTAATTGTAATTTTCATTCTTATACTTTTATATATACGTAAATTCAATTTCTTATGTTTTAATCATTTATATGTAGTCTCTTTAATTTTTAAATGTTTATGCTAAATCTTTCATTTTAAACTTTTATTCAATAATTGATAAAAGTATGATAAAATATTTAAATAAAAATAAAAAATAATTGAGGATTATATTTGTACCATGTTTAGTTGGATTTTGAATGATATCGAGCAAAGAGTCGTAAATATGTATATACACCACCCTGGCTTGTGGCAAACTTTGTTTTAGGTTGTGCAGCTCTGCAGATAGTTTCGAATTAAACAATTTTGATGCCAAGTTTATTTCTTGGGAGCACTTTCTCTGTTCACCTCCAAACATTGTTCGCGCCAATGGCAAGCATCCCAGTGGAGGAGCACCAAACACTCCTATTCTCCTTGCCCCTAGTGCATATATATCCTTTGGATATGAAAAAAAAATTGTCACAAATTTTTTAAGTTTGTTGTCTCTTTTTTTCAATTAAGTAACAACAATTCAAGCAATACAAATTAATTTAAATTATATTACTTAATTCTTAATTATTTAACTGTAGTTATTAATTAACCCTTTAACTTATAAGTCTGCTGTATAGAATAACAAATTTATCCAATTGAAGTAAAAAAACACAAAGGGACAATTTTAATTCAAGTTTAAAATGTTGCACTACACGCAGTAAAATAATTATGTTTAATCTTTCAATTACCTTAACAAAAGAAGAGGCGAATTGTACCAACATATCAGTGTAAGAGGGAATATCATAATGCAGTCTCCTAATTCCAGCAGCATAATAAGTATTGGCAATGTCATTGCTGCTAGCTACCACAAGTACCAAACTTTTGGACAAGATGAAGTTAGTTCTTCCTTCTCCAAAATTTTCTTTCAGTTTTTCTATGTATCCTTTGAATTGCTCCAGTTGCTCAGACATCGGTATGACTGACTGTATTATCAACAATTATATATTAAAATGATTATATTTTTGAGAATTTTCTCAAGTTTTAGATGTACATTGAAAATAATTATATATTAAAATGATTGATCAGTAAAGTCAATTGTCGTTGAACAATAAAGCATGAATTCATCTTGACCTAGGAAGCTAAAGTGCAATCGTGGCTATATAGCTATCATGCTTTTTTAAGAGACATACATGATTGATGCCTTTAGTTTTCAACGAAATTGGCCTACAAAGGACAAATCATGTTAAATAATTTTTATTTTTAATAATTTAATATTTTATTTTAATATTGTTTATTTAATGTTAAAAAGAAGAATATACCATTCACTGATGAAAGAAATGAGAGGTATGAAAAAATGAAGTGCATGTACCACCAATGTTGGTGTGACTGGATCATAACCGGAGCCACCCGAAGCGAAGTTGACACCCGTAAGGAGATCCCCAGGCACTAAACTGTGACTCATATATGATGGTATGTATCGTTTTATTCCCAATTCTTCCGCTGCATTGGCAAAATGATCAATTTCCATATGATTCCATTTGATTTCTTTCCATTTTAAACATTTTTTTGTGAATCAAGAATATTAATTTTCTTTTAACATATAACGATCACCAATTAAAATAATTTTTATCTTTTTTAATATAGTATTTTTCTTACTTTTAATCAAAAAATGAACTTTATTAGTAGGTATTATAATTTTTATTTTATTCATTCTTAACTCAAATATAATTAATAAAGATAATTTTTATTTTTTAAACTTTCAAATAATAATAATAAAAAAAAACTATCAGTCCTTTCATGTCATTTAAAACATACTCCAAAAGTTTCGGATTGATATGTCAAGAAGACACTAAGATTGTAACAGAAAATTATTAGTACAATTTTTTATGCGTTAAAATTAACTTTGTATACAACAATTTTACGACCAAACACGTGCATTACCGTACAAAATTAATTTATTACATGAAAAGAGATTCAAAATCACGAGAAAGTGTTATCTAAAAACTTTCAATGAACTAAAAATGATTTAAAGTAACAGTTTAAAAACTATAAACTTACTTTTATTTTTATTCATTAATCAGTTTTATTAGTTTAGGGTGGAAGAGAATGAAATGAACAGTAACATTAATGGATGATGAGGTACGTACCTAGGAAGTCGGAAGGGACCTTGCCATTGCAGAATCTTCCCGTTGGTTTCCCGTGCTGGAAATCCCTCCCATAAGGAAGGAAATTGCTCTTAAGCACTGTAATTAACTCATTGTTACTGCCTGTGTCAACTATCGAATCTCCAAAAATAATCAATGCTGGAATTGTTTCATTCCCTCCCAACTTAACGATAGCCTCTGCAGTGTAAGAGGGACTCAGACACAACACACAACACACAAACACCACACTCCATAGCTCCATGTTTTTTGTGTTTGTTATAGCTAGCTAGCGTGCAGTCCTGTCTCATTATTATATATAGAGGTACTGCTAAGAGTTTTCAAGCTTAATTCATTTTTAGGATGCAGCTGGGGTCATTTATTGATCACACACACGCCACGAGGGTGGTACCTATATCTTATTATAAATGTAGTAAATTACGTGTATGAAAAAAAATCTGAATTAATTGCTTCGATTCACTTCCACATATCATGTCACTGAATGTACATTCCCAGTTATATATTGATTTTGTGGAATTATGATAGATGACCCCAGAATGGGTCAGTCACTCAGATAGCATTTTGTTGCTTATTTTTATGGGCTCTATAATATAAATCCAAAAGTCAAAGATAGCTGTGCTTAATTGTTCCAACCAAGAGCAGGGAGAAGAAATATTTCGTAATTGGATCAGCACATTCAAACTAAGCGTCTGTTTTGGCTGACTTTGAGATTCAATTTCTCACTGTAGGACACATCCTTATTCAATTTTTGTCAGTTTTATCTAATAAAAATTAAATAGTTAGTATGGATATCATAATCTATACAAATAATATATTGTATTATTTTGTACTAAATCTATTGATCATATATAATAACTTTCTTTACAAACAAAATTGATTAGTTCAATTAGTTAGCTTTATAAGAAAACAAGTGTTTACAAATTCATCTTTTATGTAAGTATTTCATTTCTTCTTATTGGGGCAAACTTTTTCTTTTTGTTTTTACAGTTTCTAGTCATAAATATTATCAATTTCTTATAACTTTTATTTTTAATTACCTACTATTTAGTTTTTTTTTCTGCCTTTTCAACTCATATTATATGTTAATAAGATTTTGTTTTATAATTATATTAATTAATTTAAGTATCTAATTATTACTTAATAAACATGTAATATTAATATTTGTTTTATTATTATTTATGTTATAGATGAGTAAATCAAATTTCTAGTTTTATATTATGAATATATTTAGTCATTATATAAGTTGTGATGAAAATTTTGTATAAAAATATATTCATATTTAAAATTGACAAAAAATATTATTAACTTAATTGCAAGTAATTTATTAAAAACTAAATTAATTTTTATTTTAAAATTGTTTTGCATCTGCGTAGCTTAACCCACTCTAATATCAATTAACTCTAAATAATTAATAGTGTGGGATGAGAAAGAGTCTCACCTCCAACTGATCCTTGAACTCTCATATTGTGATTGGAGCTTTTATTAACCTAGAAGCTCAATTAAATTGAAAGATATCCAATATCGATGGGGCAAAAATAAAGGAAGAAAAGTGAAAAGAAATAGTTTTAAAAGTCTGTGTATGTTGAAAATAAATTCAATTGAACATTCAATTTTTGTGTGAAGGTCAGTTGAACATTCAAATAAAGTAATATTGTGGACCATGACCCGAGATTTTTTTTCCTCAAACGAAATCAAAATTCAAAATATGGCTATGAGTTAGCAACCATTGAACAAAAACCGAAAAAAAAAGAAAAACATGTTTTTAATGATGATGTAAATTTTAAATGTTGCAAAAACATAAAAATAAAACCTCAGTACTGTACTAAAGTCTTCAATTTTTCCAAAAAGAAAAAAGCAGTACCCTCAATACATTAGTTAAAGAATTAAAATTAACATTCTTTTATTAAAAAAAATTAAAAATAGTATGTATTGATTTCTTAAATGTATTAGTTAACACGAAGAAAAAAAAAACTCTCTTAAAAAAGGATGAAAATATGACAGACTGTTTAATAAAAACTTACTAGTTCGATTTAACCTATTTAAATAATAAATTAAATTTAAACTTTTTAAAATGTTTGATTAATTAAATAAATAAAACTTAAGCTTAAAAAAAGTCTATTATAATAGAATATTTAAAATTTTTAATAATATATTAAATAATTTTATATTAAATAAATTAAATTTTAAAATAAATATAAATTATAAATTTCAATCTTTTTTATTATTGAAATTAAATCATGTCTCTGTGATATACTTGCTAATAGAGAAAGTTTTGATTGCTGAAATTCTTTATATTAGTATTGTTTGATCTATTTTCATAATGCCGATTTGCATTATTTCTAATTTTTTTATGAAATAAAAATATGTAATTTTATTATACATATTTAAGGTATTTAATTATTTTTATAACATATTTAAATATAAGACTTAAATTTAGATATATCTATTTAAATAATTTAATAGTCTATTTATATAGAATTTTAATAACATATTAAAAGTCTCAATACAAAATATATCATTAAAAATGTTAATAAATTAAAATAAATTTTTAAAAAAGTCAAGTTATGTTTAATAAAAAATTTATAACAAATAAAAAACTAAATTTTGACATCAATATTATTCAACAGATCAGGTCTATTTATACAAAGTTTAGTTTAGTTTAACCTATTTTTACTCCCCTACAAATAGCATTTTACAAACAATATTAATAAATACTTTTTTCATTTTTATTTATTTGTTAAAAAAATTTATTCTTCTCTTTAAATATAACAAATAATATTAATTATTTTTTACTAATATATTTTATTAATATAAAATATTTAAATATGATAAATAAAAATGTACATAATTCACTAATATATTGGACAAATAAATAGCAAAAGATGTAGTACCTTTTTTATACATATTCTTTTACAATAATGGCATATATATGTTAATTGTTAAATTAAAAACTGTTATTTGAAAAGTAAAATTACTAATATTTTAATAAACTTTTATTAATTTTAAAAAAGGATAAATACACCTTAACATAAAAAATAAAAAAAAAACATGATAACAAAATCCTTCTCGCTATCATATTGGGTTTTTTTCTTTTTGAAAAAAATAGTGTCACTATCTGAGACATCTATTTAATAATGTACCTTTTTTGTTGGCTAAGACAGGTATATCAAGGGACTCACGAGGAGACAAAGAAGGACAAAACTAAAAGAGTAGTTAATGTTTGTGGACACATATATATACGTAACAGGATTCAATAATTATTAATATTAAGTTTAACTCTTAGTACAACCCAGGAACTATAGCTAAATTTATTATAAAAAATGTTAAGCGATAGAATAACTGCTTATGTTAATATAAGCTTTACCTGACGAAAATTAATTTGTCAATGAAAATTTTAAAATTTGTACTAACAAATAATGTCTTATACTACTATTTATGTACTGAGATAATGTTACTTTCTATAATGATAAAATTATTTGTTAATACGATATATAAATTTATTAGTATGAACTCAAAATATCTATATTAATAGCTAATTTTTGTTAAATCAAATTATACTAATAAAAGCAAATTGAACAATAATTTGTTTGGAAACCACGAATTTCTTTTGTAGCGATTGATTTAAATAAATAGTTCTCTTAGTACAAAGAAATTAAAAAAAAATAAATCCAAGCATTATCAATGAGATATAAAGAGTGAGTATTTTGCTTACATGAAATAAAAATTTTACATGAATTTATATAATATTTAAATTATGATAACAAATATTTATACACATTAATTATTTATATTAGATTAGATATTTATTCTAATAATTTATAAATTACACTGACGAGAATTTATATCATGCAAGAGATAGAAAGCTATATAAATTTTTATATAAAACTGTTTAAATATTTAAATTAAGAAACGAATAAAGAAGAGAAAACATGTATTCATTATCGCAGAAGTCAAAATGTGAGTTAATATCTACCTATATTTTGATCGCTTATACAGATTGCATTTATGGCACTGTTTATCTGAATAATTTGAATGAAAGTATCAGCGGTACAGAATTTATTGTGAAAAATATAGGGATGATAATAAACTTTATAGTAAAATTTCATTGAAAATAATTATTTATTATATATTTTAATAGTTTAAATATAAACAAATGTGTATTATTTTTATATATAAATATTTAAACTCAGTCTTAAAGACTGAGATTAACAAAATATTATATTTATTAAATATTAAAAATAAATAAAATAATTACTCATTTAATATATTTATATATAAATATTTATATTTTCTTTTAAAATTTTAGTTATAAATATATAAACTCAGTTTTTGAGACTGATGTTAATAAAACATTCTTTTTATTAAATGTTTAAAAAATATTAAAAATAAATACTCATTTAATATATTTAAATATAAACAAATAAATATTTAGAAATATATAATCATATTGTAATTTTATATTTTTCTTAAATTATACTTTAAAAAATATTTGTTTTATAATAATATTTATATTTTACTAATTCATAAAAAATCTTACACAATCAATATTAAAAAATATTTTATTTAAACATAAATATATGAGCTTATCCAAACTTTACTCGTTTTCATTTCCATTCTATCCACCACGTAAACACATAAATGTTGAGGGAGAAATCTCCAAAATTAAATGAGAATGTTACATATTCAATGATAACAATTTTTTTAATTTAAAATTTGAATAAAATATGATTTATTTTATTTACTAAAAAATTAAATTGATTTTTTAAATTTAATTACTGTAAATATTTAAATATTTTACTAACTACCACCCTTAAAGCAATGATTAAATTTTTTTTAAAAGTGTATTAAAAACTGTGTTGAATTATATTAAAAGTTAAAAAATATTTATTATATTATATGAATTTTTTTAATTCCTTAAACAATACTCTTCATATGCTCATGAGCATTAGCAATATTTAAATTATATTAAATTTCAACTATTCAAGTGAGAATCAGAGTCAAAATTTGATTTTCTGGTAACACTTCCGTTCCACATTTATATCATGTCTACTCAGAACAGTTGGAACAATGAATTATTTTTCACGTCATGAAATATAAATAGCATTACTATGATTTTGATAGTGAAATTGCAGTTGCGATGTGCAATTGTTTGTGTGTGGGGGTAAACATAATTAATAATATGTTTTTAATAAACAATTATTGTTATGTGCTTAAATAATTAAAGTTAACAAAGATAATTTCTAATATTAAAATAATGACAAGTGAGTATGTATAAAAATAAATTTGAGAATTTAATTAGATACAAAGAAGAATACAAATTTAACTTCAATTTTAGTAATTCCATTATAAAAAAATTATCTAAAATTAGCTTCCCGATTTCCTGATGAAGTTTAAAACATATATTTTACTCCTTCCAAGGAAACAAGTAATTTGTGAAAATTTAAATTGTGACGAAAGAACCATCCTCTTAGGCATCATTTTGCATATAATGGAAAACTAAAAACTACATATATTTTTTGTTAAATTATATTTTGAGTTAGTTTAATTATAAAGCTATTTTATATTAAAAATTAGTTGATTTATTTTTAAAAAATTGAATTACTTGCATCTTTATTGACATTTGATCGATATTAGAACTTAGCTTACCGTTTTGTTTAATTAAAGAAATATCATTAAATTATTTTTATTGTCTTTTTTATGAATAAAATTATTTCACATTCTATAAAAAAATAGAAATTAGTAAAAAATAATAATAAAACAAGGAAATAACAAATACGATATATAAAACTAATATAAAATATTTTGTTCCATTTTCTTTATTTTATTTAATCTTTTTATTGATTATTTATTATTGAACTGTTCAAAAATTTATTTATATAACACTTGAGTTCACTTATATAATTGATTAAAAAATAAAAGTATGTGTCATTATTAATATCCTATACTTCATCACCATCTATACTGATACCATATCATATTATACAAGCTAAAATAAATGCAATACAAATAAATGACAAAAGAATAACAAATTACTAGCAGAAAAGTAAACCAAAAAAAATAATCAGATTTTAAAGAATCAAAATTTTTTATTTTAAAGGGTTAAAATCCTATCTTTATACTTGGTTTTGCATTAATTATTGTTTATTTTCTGTACGGTTGCCATTAGATGTGCACATACAAAGTGGGGATGTTCTGTTCTGTGTTAATGAGGTTTGGTCTAATTTGCTTCTGCAACGGGGGAACAACCCATTGACAAAGAAGGTTCATTCTATATGCTTCCCTACTTTTTCCAAACTACATAAGGCATGAGAACTCCATGGATCCTCTTTGCACATATCTAAACGGCGTGTTTATAATTGGAAAAAGAGAGAATGACTCAAAATAACATCTAAAAATTTTTACTTTTAAAAATAATATATATATAGATAATTGAATAACTATGTATTTTTTTATTATCCATATATTTTAATTAAATATGTTATTTATTTATATTTTAAAATGTAAATAAAACAATTAATTGTTCATACCTAAATCGATCATTGCGTTATTTGGAGAATATCTTAATTTGAATCCATAATCCTATCTTTCATAAATTCAACTTTATTAAAACCTATATATTATCAAATTTAGAGTCTAAAATATTAGCCTAGTTCAAATTTAGGATTAATTAAGAATAAACTATAACTTTGTTTCACAAACAACCCTACCTAATATTCAATTTCTATGCGGTCCCAAAAAAAAATAGTAATATATGTTTTTACTCATATTTTATCAAAAATATAATATTTATTATACTTTTATAATATTAAGATAATAAATATTTTTGAAAAGAAAATTTTATTACTTTTGTTGTTTATCCTCCGAAAGAGGTGAAGTTAACATTTTTTTTAATTAATTACATTATATGCTGTGGTCAAACTTCAGAAACTCAGAAGAACCGATTCAAATATTTTTGAAGGATTTGATGCACGATCACTCTGTATACTCCTTCGGTAGGATGATAACTATCCCAAAAAACGAATTCCGAAACATCGGCACAAGTGGGAACCAAAGGGTTGCATAACACTGAAACTTCTAGTTTGCCTGTGCCACAGCAACCTCTATCCGCAACTTTGTAGCCTGCAATTGACCAAGGAACTTAAGTACTTCTGGGAGAAACTTAACTAAAATACTTGAAAGTTAAATAAACAATTAGATTATTAAGTACTCAGAATTAAGTCTTGGAATGGGATTTACCATATTTTCTGTAGTTCACAATGATGTCTAATAAGGGATTGTAAATGTCAATGTAAATGATCCTACTATTAGGCAAATTATGGTCAAGAGAACCCAGCTCCCTTGACAGTTTGGAATTATATAACTTGGCCGCGTAATTGTAATTTTCAGCGCACTCTCTTTGTAAACCTCCAGCCAGAGTTCTCTGTGATGGAACGCACCCAATCGGTGGTGCACTCAGTACTCCGATTCTGCGTGCTCCGAGTTGATATAATTCCTTCACATTTTATAACTCTTGTGGTCAGGTATTTATTGCATAAAGAATTCAAGTATATATGTGCATGCATCTTTTTGTTTTTTATTATTTCTATTCTTTTCAAAATCATTTAATTAATCCTATCATTTTCTTTAGACAGTAGATTTTTTACTGTGTATGAATGTGTTTGAGCCTTTGAGGCTATGAGCTGAAGACTGTATTTTTATATAATAAATCTACCTTTACGAAAGCGGAAGCTGAGTTGACCATAAGGTCAGTGTAAGCTGGAATATCATAATGTAACTGTCTAACGCGAGCAATAAAATAGGTGTTGGCAATGTCGTCACTTCCTGCTACCACAAGGTAAAAACTGTTGGCTAGGATGAAGTTTGTTCTGTCCTCTCCAACAATGCCTTTAAGCTTCCCTATGTATTCTTTGAACATTTCTAGTTGATCCGACAATGATATCACTGACTGATTATATTATACAAATTATCAAGTCAGAAAAAGTTAATAACAATGATAAAATGATAAGTGTGTGCATATTTGTGCTTGTATATACAGGAAACATTTAGAATATTTTTATTTGATTTTCTAAATCTAAAGCAATGCATGATTTATTTTTTGAGAATAGCCAAAGCTTAATAACAATAAAATTTTGTTTAGATCATTTCAGCACTTTTTATATAAAAAAGAAGGTTTATAAAAATATATGTATAATACTTGTCCACTACATACTGTAGAAGTGAAAAGCAAAGCTAAAATATTGAAGTATACCGCTATTTTTGGCGTTAAAGGATCAAATCCAGTGGCACCGGAAGCAAAACAGACTCCCGTAACAAGGTCACTTGGTTTGAGATTTGGATCCAAATAAGCTGGTAAAAGCTCCTTAATGCCCAATTCTTCAACTGAAAGTCAAAGAAGTAAATAATTGCAAAGGAAAAAAACTTATTTTGGATATGAGTGAAAAGCGAATAATAGTTCTAACTGAATTTATAATACATAGTCAACAATGATAAAAAAAAATGATATAGGTAATATTTACATGAAATATTCTTTATTTAAATACATATCATGTTGTCACTATGACAACATGATTAAATTAAAATAAAAAAAATTCTCAAACAATAATACTTATTGCATAACTTTTCCCTTTTTTTTGGAATTAATTTTTAAATAAAGTTATAAAATATATTTAAAAGAATTATGTTCCGGTTCGGTAGTAAAGATAGAGGATTCAAACTTCTACTACACATGCAAAAATCATAATTATATCTTCCTCCTATGAGCTCTACCCTACTTTGAAAAAAAAAAAAAAACTATCTTTTAATCTTACAAATCAAATTAATTTTTTACTTCGACATACATAAATAAGGAGTCCTTTTTTTTTTTCTCCAAGAGCAAAAAGTCAACAGGTTCTAATATTTTGAGTATTTCTTTTTATCAACCTTATCAAGTACAAGTCTGTAAATATTGTTTAAATTATCCAGTTATATATATATATATATTGAAAAATTCTTATTAACAGTATAAATATTATCAATACTAAAAGGATAAAAATTATAAAATATTTTTTAAATATTATTTATCAATTAAAAAATCAAATTTCATTTTTAATAAATTTTGTATATTTAATGTTATAATAAATTATTAAAATAAAATTCTAATATTATTTGATAAACAACACCGCAACTTATAACTTATAAGTATTACAATAAGTTTTGTTCACATTAAAAATATATCAATATATATATGATAGTGATGCATCACCCTCAACTTGCTCGTTTAACCACAAAAACAAATTATGTTAGAGACAAAAAAAAAAAAAATACAAACAACAATTTTGAATACTGTAATTGTTACATTAATAAATGAAATTACGAACATATATAATTAAGTGAGGATTTTGTTTTGAAATTTCAAATTAAAATTTGACATCTTGGCAAATTTTCATTAGACAAAATTTTCATAGACCATGGCTCCTAGGTCGTAAGGCCCTTCCTTCTCTTGTATGAGTACACGCGTGCATACTAATTTTGATCAAATAATATTGTTTTAAATTAATTCAAATAATATAATTAATATTTTTTATTAAAAATAAATTTTATCAATTCAATCGTTAATTTTTATTAAAAAAAATTTGTTATGTTTTTTTTATATATAATTAACAAAAAATTATCATTTTAATTAAAATAAGCTCAAAGTTAACATATATTGCAAATTATGAATTGAAGTTAATCTATAATGTAAGAATTAAGCAAGCACAGGCGACAGAAAAGAGAGGAGAAAAGTAGTACCTATCATGTCCGTTGGAATTTTGCCATTGCAAAACCGACCGGTGGGGTTCCCTCCCTCAAAATCTCTTCCGTAAGGAGGGAAATTGCACTTCACCAGTGTTTTAATCTTGTTGTTGTTTCCTGGGTCCACGATCGAATCTCCGAAAGCTATCACTGCAGGAATTGAAATATTCGGTGGTAATCTCACCGCAGCTTTTGTTATTCTGAAAGATAAAATGAACAATAACATGAAGCTGAGCATTAAGCTAGTTGAAGAAGAACTAGAGAGCCTCATAAACAGAGCCATAGTTATAGTGCTGCTACTTTTTAAGGGCTATTATTCTTCACTGGTTAACTCCAGTGAATCAGGAAAGAACTTACAATCTGCTTCGTCTCAGCGTCTATTTATACACACACACTTGCACAAACTACACCACGTCCTTGTAGTCATTTATTGCAAAAGCAAAACTGATAATGAAATGACCTCCATACTTTTAAGACTGGAAATAGAATAACTCGAATATTTAGTGGATAAGAACGGACCAATACTTGCAGGAAAAATATTTTTTAACAACTCTGAGGTCCATTAGTTTTTAGGTATGTTTTTTAAATATGCATATATAAAAAATAAATAAGAAATAAGAGAATAAAATAGGTATATAAGCCTTTAAATTCAATGTTAACTTTTAGTTATTGTTTCAACAATAATATTGATATTGATCAAAATAACAAAAGAGGAATTTAGTATTTTGAGAAGGACTCAATTATTTAAGTATGCATTAGAGGGTTGCTTTTCGATAGTTATATATATATATATATTGGAAAAATAATAAAAAATGACCTCTTTTATTTTTTGAACTCTGATGTCCATTAAGTTTTCAGGTATATATGTATAAAAAGTAAAAGATAAAGATAGTTGGACTTAATGTTACACATTATATTAGTTTTTAGATTTTATTAATAAGTTAAATTTAAGTATTTATAAATAAAAATTATTTATTATATTAGTTATCAAAATATAATAAATAGTTTTAATAAATTATTATTATTATTAGTTCTTTATTAAAGTTGAGGTTAACAAAATTCATAATTTTTAGTTGCTTAAATATCATTTAAATATTTATCAAATTACAGAAGCCCAGTTTTGGTACGTAGGGAGGGACACAAATTATTTAAGCGTAATTGGAGGGTTGTTTTTGGTATCTACATATACATTTAAAAATAGTTTCAACCGGAATGGTCTTGGAAGATTAATAATCTCTCAATTATCAACTGCGAAAATACTCAGTAAAAATACAGAAAAAGATATGTAGGAATGATAAATTTGGAAAGTATATGTGATGTGTTAAGAGATTGAAGTGGTAAAATTAGTAGCAGCGTGTTAGTTGGCGCATCATACACCGTACGACAGATTTGAATCCTTCCCGTATACCTGCACTACTTAACGAAGACCATTGGATTTCTCTTCCTGTTTCTTTGGTAAGATGAACAGTTTATGTGTTTCTTAGTTGAGTAGGTGTGCTCTTGACCTAAGTCATGAGCCAGAGTGCGAATAATGACTTGTGGGGATCGAAATAAATGTTAATATTGCTGCATATCAAGGACCCGAGCATGCATTTGAGAGTGTATGATCAACATGCACTGCTAATTTCATCACTTTTTTAGTAAGGGAAGATCTTAGAAAAAATGAGGAGAAAATATGCTGACCTGGCTTACTGCATTAATTTGTCGTTTTCACCCTTTTTTTACCTGGCTTGTTAATTGGTGCAAGTGTTATTATAACTCATTAACTTGTACTAACTTCGTTTTCATATAGCATTTAGTTTAATTCTGAAAATGATAAAATATTTTGTAAAATCAAATTAAGAATACAATGTTATCAATATACATATTAACTTTTTATATAAAAAATGTGACATGCTTAATTCTAACAATCCATGTCACTTCCATTCATGGTCCAAGACACATGGTAAATATATCATTATTTATACTTTTTATAGGTGAAAAGTATTAATGTAATAAAACAAGGACGCATTTATAAAATATTGTAAAAACTTCATTACAATCTCTAAATCTAAATTTATTTTTAATTTTGTTTCTATTTAATAGATCCTTTATTGTAGTCAAATATATTTTATTAAAATTGTATTTATAATTGGTTTATATAAATAAGAACTAAAAAAATTGTTTACTTAACGCTAATTTTTAACTTAATTTTTTAAAAATTACATAACTCTTGAAAAAATTATTATTAAAATTCACTTTCAATTTTATTCCCTTTCATAAAAATTTTAAATGGACATATTTTACCTCATTTATCTAAAATATTTTTATTGTCTATTGTCTAATATTTAAGATATATTTAAAAAATATAAATAATTTATATAAACAATTTATAACTTTTATAATTTTTTATTTTATTTTAATAAATTACTATTGAATTTATGATATCAATTATTATTTTAAAAATTATTTAATAAATACTCAAATAAGTAATTAATTAATATTAATTCCAATAAATATTAACATATTAAGTTAATATTTATCTTCAAACAAAAAAATTAACTGACAAAATTATTTTAACTTAATTTGTAATTTTTAAATATTATTCTCGATTACTAATAAAAGTAATTAATATGATAACATTTTAAATAATTTTGAAATTAAAGTAATTTTTTATTAATTAAAAATAAAATTACAAATGTACAAAATTAAATCTAAAGTGGTGATTTATTTCTTTCATAATGCAAAGTAATAAAGTACACAGTCAGACGGGTTTCAACCGTCAAAAGTATCTTTTTCCTTTTTTCAATTAATCATCGTTGCATGCAACGTAAGGAAAGGTTGATTTTCGCCGCAAGCATGGCGACACGTTGCAGCTTGATCAGCAAGTTTTTGGTGACGCCTTGTCATTCAAATGATGTGAAATGCGTCATACAAAACGCACCTTTTTATTTCCAAAAAAATTGAATCTTTGTATAATTCAAAATTAATATAATAAGTCATTTAACTAAACAACTAATAATATGTTTTTCCAATAAAATATAATATTTTTAATTGATAATTATTTTTATATTATCAATGCATAAAAATAAAATTGTTTTCTTTACAACATATTTTGTAAATATTAAGAAACATTATTTTAAAAATTACCATAAAAAAATTAATTAATGTTTTTAATTAAAAAATTAATAACTTAGTGTTTTTTTTATTTGATGCCGACAATGTGTATATTAATTTTTTTTTTCACACATCCATTTTACATATATCTATATATTTTTTTGGAGATAAACATTAACTTGGTCAGTAAAAAAAAGTATCTTTAAATAACTCTTAAAAAGTTAGTCCATTAATTAATCTTTTAAAATTTAAATTATTAGTACATTAATTCTTTAAAATTTTTATTGATAAATTGGTCTCAAAATGTTTAATTTCTCATTAAATTTTAAAAAAATTTACTTAATCATACTTTCTTTTTTAAACCGTTAAATTAATATTTTTCTTATCTCTTTTTTTTTTATCATTTATATTAGTATTTTTTTTTTCGCATCTTTCTAACACTTTATTTTAGTGCATAAGAAATCATAGGAAAAGACAAAATAATATTTCTATGCATTTTTGTTGATTTAGAATAACGTAAAAATGAAAGAGACCCAAATTGAAGAGAGTTTAAAATAGAAGGGAAATATTTTTTTACCCCTTGTCATATGTCACTTGTTCTTCCCACTTCATCACAGTAGTTTTTGTTTTTAACAAAAATATTTTGAAATCACAAGAGCGTCGAAGGTAAGCAATGCCACCCACAAGTTATTTGGTATTTACAAAGAGAGGGATTTGGTCCTTAATTCAAGAATAATGATACACGCACATTTGAATTGTAGGTAGAATGGAAGAAAGAGATATGATTGATGAAGTGATAGAAAAGATAAATAAATAAATATAAGAGTGTCTAAAAGTATAAATTTTGTTAATTTAATTTCCTATCTTATGGTTAAAAAAAACTGTCATGATTATGATCATTAAGGACATTAGTGTTTTTTAGTGAGTAGTGGTGCAAAATGGAGCTGAAAAACTTCATATCCTATGGCGATACCAATAATTGGAATGCATCGTATCCATACTGCTTGGGGTAGTTGCCCCCCACCACGATCAACCTACTATCCAAATTTAGGTAGGCATGCGTATTCCAGAGAACATGTACAATAATGATTGTGAGAATATGTCAACAACAATTGTTTAATTACTAGGGCATGCATGAGACAACGATAATGAACAATCAATATAAATAATTCATTCTTATATTGCAATTTAGAAGTTGAATTCCAAATTTAGTTGATGCACCAAATGACCCCTAAATATTATTTTCAAAAAAAGCTCCCCCACCCCAACTCCCTCGAGTAAAAAAGTGAGGTAGGTGCATCATGTTCTCGTGAAGAAATGTCTAAGAGTGATTCATATTTGATACATGTGGACTACCTCATGGATACGCCACTTCAGTATGATTTTGAAATTCATTAATTGAAGGTTCAAAATGAACTCCAAAATGTACAGGCCCAGTCGCATACTTCCCTTCTTTAGTGATATATATGCTCTGTTCGGTCAACTACCACAGATCTGCATCCAATTTAAAAGAAACTCTATTGTTGGAAAATAAAACAAGTACTAAATCCATGGGATTCATGTGTTAAGAGCAAATAAAAATATATACACGTAGAAGATGTAAATGTCTTAAAGTGCATTAGGCATTGAGATTAAACAAGAATCTCAAGTACAAATAAAAAGATATATAAATAAAAAGTGTATAAATCTTAAATTTCTTAAAACATTTCAGACAAACAAACATCACAGAGCTCTTTTTTTATTGACCCAAAAACTCAAATCTAAACGAGGTATATGATGCACTCTCCCACATCAAAGCTCGATCCAACCGTTTATAAAATTCAGAAAGTATCATATATAATAAATTAAACCTGAATACATGAATCTATTAAAAGTTTTTTCCATACATAAAAATTTAGACTTAAAATATAACTTAAACGATATTAAGTCGTTTATTACTTTATCAACTTTTGTTAATTTCTGAATAGTACTTTTATATTTACAAAAGATAACAAATTTAATTAGGAGGGCAAATCTTACGTTTAAAAACTTTAACTTACTTGTTATTAAATAAACAACTCCATTCGTGAGCGTATGGAATAAACGTTTTCATTAAGTGGACAAAGGTTATATTGATTGTAAAAAAATCTCATACCACACATTTAACACTCATTTTAAATTAAAAATCTTGTAGACGTAGTTGCATTATGGATATGTTCAATTCAAGCAAACAATTATTAACCACAACAATTAGGATCTAGGAGT